CTTTGCTGTCTTTGCTTGATCCATCCCGTTCTTGATTATTAGCTTGTCGATGTACTTCTTCAACCGGATCTGGTACGATCCACCCTCGCGTTGCACCTCCATCCCTAGGAAGTGCCGAATTTCGCCTAGACAGGTTATTTCGAACTCTTTGGCCAGGCCTTGAACAATACGCTTCAGCTCCGCTTCATCCGTCGACGACAGCAGCATATCGTCAACGTAAACTAACAAGAACACCATTCCATGGGCAGTTTCCTTCACGTAGAGGCACTGATCTGCCGACGACGCCTTGAATCCCAACTTGGACAGTACTTCGTTCAGTTTCCTGTTCCAGCATCGCGCCGACTGGCGCAGACCATAGATACTTCGCTTCAGCCGACACACAAGCTCCTCCTGTTCTGGTTCCGCAAAGCCCGGTGGTTGGCGCATGAATACTTCTTCATCCAGGGTTCCGTTTAGATAGGCCGTCTTGACGTCAAGGTGTTGAACCATCGCCTTTCGATTAGCGGCCACCGTCAGAAACATCCGTAGGGTAACTTGACGAGTCACCGGTGCGAACACCTGATCGTAGTCAATCCCCATCTGTTGAGAGTAACCCTGAGCTACTACTCTAGCTTTGCACTTAACCACCTCGTCTGCTTCGTTCCGTTTGAGTTTGAAAACCCATTTGGAACCTACTAGTTTGCGCCCCTTCGGTAATGGTACTAGGTCCCAAGTTCCACTGCGTCGATGAGCGTCTATCTCCTCCTCCATAGCGTTACGCCACTCCGGATGCTCGATGGCTTCTCGATAATTCGCCGGTTCTTCGAAAGCACACGTCGCTGTACCAACGACGAAGTCCTGGAAGCGCTTCGGAACAGCTCCCTGATTCTGTCTCTTCGACCGTCGAACTCCATCGGAGGCTTCTTCATCCTGGCTGGCAGTATCGTAATCGTTTGAAATTTCACCTTCGTCGCTCTCGTCTGGCTCCTCCTCGATCGGAAGCAGCTTGATCTCGTCCTCGGCTTCGTGCTCACTAGCACCGCTGGATTCATCCGGAAATGAAACTGGAAACTCTGCTGATGACGATCCGTTTCCGAGTTCAATGAAACGTGCGTCCCGGCTAATGGTTATGGAATCCGTCTCACGGTTCACAAAACGATAGCCCTTATGTTCCATCGAGTAACCCACGAAGTACAGCTTCTGCGCTTTGACGTCTAGCTTACTTCTCTTGCTTTCCGGAATATGGACATAGGCTTCGCTACCGAACACCTTCAGATGGCCAATATCTGGTTTTCTACCCCACCACAGCTCGTAGGGAGTTTTCACCACAGATCTGGACGGCAAACGATTCTGCAGGTACGTGGCGGTTAGGATAGCTTCACCCCAGTACCGTTTCTCAAGCCCGGAATCAGCGAGCATGCACGTTGCCATCTCGTTGAGCGACCGATTCTTGCGCTCTGCTACGCCGTTGGATTGTGGGGAATAAGGAGTGGTGAACTGAGGCTGGATCCCTTCAGCCTTGTAGAACTTCCTCAGGTCCTTGTTGTCGAACTCGCCCCCACCGTCCGAACGGATCACACGCGGCTTGCGTCCGAAAATATTTTCCGTCCAACGCACGAAATCAATGATGTTCTGCGTCGCTTCCCACTTATGCTTCATCAGGACCGTCACGGTAAAACGGCTATAATCATCGATGAGGTTCATCACGTAACGATTTCCGCTCGGCGTTGTCGTCTTCATCGGCCCGCATAGGTCCGTGTGGATGACATCCAGGACCTGGGTCGACTTCCTCTCGATGACAGCTGGGAACGGCGCCCTAGCGGCCTTCCCTTCCAAACAACATTCACAAATCAATCTTAGACCGCAATCACTCACCTTTATTCCGGTGGCAAGATTCTCCTTGACCAGGCGCTCTGCAGCCGCCCAATCGCGGTGGCCTAGACGCCGGTGCCACAGATGCTGGCAATTGGGCTTGTGTTGACCTACCGTTGCCTGCATCGAACATTCAGCCTGACGAAGATGGTACAGACCACCGTAACGAACGCCCGTCGCTACGACAGTTCCACTCGAGTCCACGATTCGGCAACCCTTGTTGTTAAAACACACCTCCAAATTCTTGTGCGCCAGCTTTTCTACCGAAATCAAGCTGGTCGACAAGCCAGGAACGTATTTCACTTCACTCATGTCGATTTTAATCGGCTCTTCGTTGCCATCAATCCCGCACAAAACACCACTACCTTCGCCAAGAATCTGAGTTTTCTTCCCGTCGGCAAGGGTAATCCACCCTCCGACAAACTCTTTCACCGAACCGAAAAACGATTTATCGTTTGTCATGTGCGCACTGGCACCACTGTCGATAATCCACGATCGACTCTTCGTGTCATTCACGGTGAAAGCAATTCCCTTATTGTCACTGTGGACCACTTTTGCCTTCGCATTTTCACCCTTCTTCGGAAGGTCTTCTTCTTCTTTCTTCGAAGCTTGCAGCTTCCTGCAATTCCGCCGGAGATGGCCAACCTTCTTACAGAAGTGGCAAATCCGGGTCTCCCTTCCCGGGTTACTTTCAGCAGACCGCATCGCCTTTTCCACTTTTCGCGCACCGTTTTCTCGCTCTAGCCGTCGGTGGTAATCGTCCATCAATTTTGATTTCACTACATCCAACGTGATGTCATCACCAGACCGGCTGTCAAGAGCAGTCACTAGTCCGTCGAACGAGAGAGGAAGGCTCCGAAGGAGCAAGCAAATTTTCGTTTCCGAATCGAGCGTCGTTCCGGCAGCGTCCAAACGATCGAACAACTCGTCGATCTCGACCAAATGTTGTTCCAAATCGCCACGTTCCGGCAGATTAGTGGAACACAACTTTTTCAACAACGAAACGCGCACTGAACGGGAGGTCTTCTGGTGATATGTTTTCAACGCGGTAAACACATCGTGAGCGTGAACACTATTTTTCACCAGCGGCAGCTGGCTGTCCTCGAGCAGCAGCACCAGCGTCGCTTTCGCTTTTCTGTCGGACGCTTTCCAAACCGCAGTACGGTTCGCTTCAGCGGGTAATTCACTCGCGACGACGTCCCAGAGATCTTCCCGGCACAACAAGTTTTCCACACGCACTTTCCACGTAGCCCAATTCGTCCCGTTGAGCTTGGGAATCGTAAATTTCGCGTCGGTCATGTCGAGAACACGTTTTTCTTCGACTCACTCGCGCAACAAAATGGCTTCCGTCCGAACACGAATCTTTCACGCTATTATTTTCTGCTCCTCGCACACGCGGCGGCAAACAAAAGCACCGATCCGAAACCGGCTAAACTTTTCACGAAAATTTTTCACACCGATCCCGCTGGGCCCATAACCTGACGGCAAAGTCTGGGTTATCGAGGTGGAAAACAGCGTATGGGATTCGGAGTGAACACAGCAGAAAAACAAACACGCGAGTAAACTACGAGAATCGATTTATTTCACTAAAAGGCAAATACAACTTGTCGCGGGAAGCGCTTAGTTTAGAATGAAAAGAAGCGAAACGGTTTGACGTTCTCTTCCTCTTGCGGTCGGAACCGGTTGGCGCAATGTATGTAGAACACGCGGTAATGCGCTACTGCTAGGGTAGGGGTGTGTGTAGTGGTACCCGATGCACCCTTCCACACAGACTACAGAGTTATAACACGTTATAGCGCTATCTTGATGGTGGTTTCTGTGTTGTAATTATTTGACAACCGTTATAACATGTTATAACTCTCCAGTCTGGACAGCGTTTTATGCCTTGCAGGGTTGCTTCCACTCACTTGCTATAAAACTATGGTTATCAAAATTATGAGATCATTAGATGATATAATTATATGTTGTACTTGTAACTAACAAGAAAAGGGTGTAAAGGATATGTTTGACTCAAAAAACCTGTCAATTTCGCTTTCAGAGCGTCACAATCGACAATCTTATGATTCGCGAGCGTTCACTCTGAGTGAGCGCTCACGAATCGTTAAATCGCTGATTGTGACGCACTGAAAGCAATATTGACAGGTTTTATGTGGCAAACACATACTTCATGACTTCTTCTTGTAACTTACAAATACCAATTATCATTATAGCATCTAATGTTTTCATAATCCGGAAACACATTTTTTATAGCAAGTGAGTGGAAGTAACCCTGATGCCTTGTTCAGACTGGAGACTTATAACATGTTATAACGGTTGTCAAATAATTGCAACACAGAAACCACCATCAAGATAGCGGTATAACATGTTATAACTCTGTAATCTGAACGTACTATTACCTTAAAATTACTATATCTTTTGATTCATAATTAGGTAATCAAAACGTGTGTTTTTTAAAGCTCTTAAAGTGTTCTGAGGAACAGTTTTCTCGAAATACAAAGCAAAAAAGGTTATGGTCAAAAAACTGTTTTTTCATGAATCACCCTAACCTTCCAGTTGTTTCAGTTCGTATAATGCGTAGATAAAAATTTGACGTCTTCGACAAAGTTATTTGATTTTGCATCCTCTACAACTTTGAAGAAGTAAAAAAATTCCCAAAAATTTCCCTGAAGAGTTAGATTTTTGAAGTCACCCTAAAACCAAACCACCCTAATGACTGATCCAACAACTCTTTCGAAGACATCAAAACGCGAAAACCAGTAGATTGTGCAGAAAACCCAATTTTCATGTATTTTTCCGCTCTGGACCACTGTGCACTGTTATTAAGCAATTTCGATTTGCACCTGAAACTAGACTATTGGGTGTGGACCGGCGCCGTTAAAATGACGAATATTTGTAGGAGGAAGAGCCTGCGTTCTGCCGGATGAAGATCAGACTGTTCCAATAAAGTTAGCAAATTAACAAGAGAGTGAATCGCGGATAGCTGTGAATAAAAAAGAGCTCCAGTCCCATCAAGTGAACCAACCTAGCTAGTTGGGGCGCTTCTATAAGCCCCGTACCCTTCAGTTTGGTCAGCTAAAAATTCTTAGAATATGAGAAACCCAGCAATGCATGGAATGTGATATAATGATAAAAATACATTTCTGGACTCCTTACGTTTGTTTTCTTTCCTTCTTTTTAATTGAAGTCGATAGTACATCTTTTATACATTGGTTCTTATGTTCGTTATTGTCTTAGTACGAAACAAAACAAATATACAAGTAACATTAGACAAAGCTTTTCGAATTAAACTTTTTTTTTATAGAAGACATATTTTTGTTCGAAAGATTTTTCATGTTCACTAAATCGTAAATGAACGGGTGCAGTGTTAGCTCAATGAACACATGTTAGAGATTTTACTTAATTGTTACAATAATTATCAATCTAGGGATTTTCATGTCAACAGTTGAATGCTTTCGTTTTCAGAGCACTGGAAGCGTGTAGTTACTTTTGTTTTAATTACTCTTTAGAACAAACATATTATTTCTGACAGAAATGGCTGTAACAAATGCACTGGGAAATTGTTGTATTCGTTAGGTCAGTCATATGAGTCGTGGCAGTATAAAAAAGAACTTATCAAGAAGATGAACAAAAAAGGCAGTGTCTTTTAGACCGTAAGCAAAATATGTTTTGATCGAATATCTGGTGCGCATAATTTCTAAACAGTAGATATCGTTTGTTTATTCGTTTTGTTGATTCATTCATAAATACTATCGTTATTTGGCACATATTCGTTTTGATTGGATAATCAAGGGAAACTCTAAATTAACAGACCAACCAAAAGAAGGGGTCTTCGTCCTACAGTAAGGGGCTGATGGCGCGTAAAATGACCGGAACATATTCCAAACGTCCACGTGTGTATTTCGAATTTGCGTTGATTCAAATGACGTAGGTATATCATTACAGTTATCGTGGAAGTTCATTCGTATCGCAGATTGTGACTACATGTAGTTCGGTTTGTAACCCTGTATAGAACTTAAACAACGGGCGGCTCAGGGCCTAGATCTACATGGCTGTAAAATAAGACAACAGTGATGTTATTCAATATATACATATATTTATATAAAACATGATCTGAAATGAAATTGCTTTCTAAAAATAAGCGTTAGTAGGGTATTCTTAGAATTTGTTAGTTTTGGGTTACTAAATTTAAACCTGTTGTTGTATGAATAATACCATTAATTGTACGGTCTTTGTATTCCACTTTCATACTAACATTAAATTTTTAGAAGGATAAAACCAACGTGTGAATTAATAACGGATTCATTAAGATATACGATATGTCTTCGATGCATTTTTTATACATTTTCATACAGCTAACGAGTATGATATAACGATATCTTTTCGTAAATTTTCTAAAATAATTATCCCACTGCGTAACCGTTATTCATAGGTGCAGTGAAAAATGTATATATTTTGATCTATTTTCGAAGCAATACTGGACGTTTCCCATATATTCATCATTGTTTAGTTGTAAGTGCTTTACATAGCACTTTTTTTTTAAGTTCCTTGCTCTAATTTGCACTAAAATACTGCTTCGTTTAGTGTAATAAGTCTTACTTGTTTTCGGCGGTATGTACAATTTGTATTTTTTTATCTAGAAATCACTATCTACATTTTAGTGAGCAATATGCATTGATATTGTTGGGACTAAATTGAATATTGCTGCCTAAACTTTGAAAAGCTTCATAACTGTTCACCGAGAATAGAATTGAATGTAACTAGCATAAGCATAAGCCACTTGCTTAGAGATGAATTGAGATAGGCTTTGTTATTGTAAGGTCGTGGATAAATAATATGTACAGGTGGAGGTTCTTCCACTTTATCAAACTCAAAACCACCAAATATATCATCTTCTTCATCAAATTCTGGATACAACATTGAAGGACTTATCCATTTGGGGCTTTATATTGATGCAATAATATAATTATAATTTGATAAATATTACCGTAATTTCCATTGATTAGCATGAATGTAAAGTAGTATATTGTTAAGAATGAAACAGTCGTTTTGTTAGGTTTGTTAATAGTTTTGTTGCTTGTTATGTGGATTGTAAAAAATAATGAAAGACTAAATTGCTTAGGGCAGCAGTCATATATAATGTTCACAGCCGGACATGTTTCTAGACAGTATCAAATAAAAAAAAAATTTCTGCACAATTCTATATCGAGCAGAAAACCTGAGATATCGTCACTTTAAATACAGGCACTCTAAAAAAATATCTTCACATGTCTTCACCGCCACTTTTTGACTTGATAAATGAGGGCGGGTGGAGTGTGTTTCGATATCTATTAATTTTTAAATAAAGGTGGTAGGAAAGGCGAATACCTTCTCTCCCAGAATTCAATTATTTAGTGTTATGTCTATGATCTCGCAAGCTTTTCAAAGTCTCGGTATTTTAAACTTTGTTGTCTTAAATAATCATAGCATTTTTTCATAGCCTTTATAGGCCATTCTGCGATTTCGTATGCTTTTTCTGCTGAACGGGAATTGGAGAGCATCTAGGCAAGTGTGTGCATTGTTCTTTAATGTTATAAATCAGCAATTCAATAGAAAAAATTTATAGCTAGTCTCAGAATTTCTCGAAAATTCGTATAGTTCTTCTTTATAAAAAAATATCAGACTCATATTTTTTATTCCAGCATTATGGTGACCATTTCCGTGTTAGGGTAGTCCGAAAAATATTTTGATTGATATTAATGACGTAATAAAAAATATGAGTCTAATATTTCTTGATAAGGTAGAACTATACCAATTTTCACGCAATTCTAAGACTCATTATAACTTTTGTCTATGGAATTGCTGAAATAATATGCTTGCTTGTATAGTCAAAAGCATAGACAGAACACAAAAAAAAAGTTAAAAAAATCATTGCATCTTTCATTTGCTGCAGTATTCACTGCGGAGCATGAAAGGAGTTGCAGTTAACATTCAGTTTAATAGGAGAAATGGCTCTTATATTGGCCTATGGATCGAAGATTGGGACCATCGCTAAAAAATCTGCTATTTATCAATTTTATCTTGATGAAGTCGTCAGGACGGTACTAATGGATATTTTTGGTCGCTATTGAAAATTTAGTCGATTGCTGAATTTATGTATGGGCTTAAATTAGGGGCATTTAGGCCGACATTACGTCCCTACATCTTTTGGTTGCGTGCAGGGATTACAAGTGATTTTTTCTGATATTATTCTGATATGAACATGCTACAATGTTTTATGTTTGATATTTCGATTTTTGGACTTGACCTTCTTCAGGGGATATAGCGTTGAATCATCTTTCGTTCAGAACAAACAAGTTTACGATCTAAAACAAAAACTAGCCCTGATATGATCCCAACCAGCCAATGGCTGATAGTCTCTCTAATAAAGAAAACTAACTAACTAGACTGAAGAGCCAACATAAAATGACCAATTATTCAAGATCATTAAACTTCCTCGAAAGTAATTGGAACTGCCCTAAAGATCTCTGAACTTCAATAATGTTCTCTAGACTTGTCTGGATTTCTCAGAACTTTTTAAAAGTTTCCGCGATTTTCCTGACAATTATTGAACTGTCCTGAAGTTTAATGATCTATCTTGAAGCTCCGAAATTTTCTATACTTCCTTGAAGCTCGTGGAACTTCAACAAAATCTCTAAACTTCCCTGAAGTTCTCTAAATTTTAAATGAGTTCTGGAATGTTTTCTTAGGTTCCCTTATTTTTAAAATAGTCCTCGGAATTTATTTAAAGTTCCAATGATTACTTGGAATACCCTGAGAATTTACAGAAATTTTTAAAACACACAACTTTTTGAAACATAAGGCAATTCATTAATGGTAATGTTCTGAAGTTCTCTGATCTTCCTCGAAATACTAAAGTTTTGGAACTTCTTGAAGGTGCTGCTACTGTCCTAAGGTACTTGAAATTTACTTGAAGTTCTTGGAATTTTCCTGAAGAACCCATGATTTTCCCGATTAAACTGCCCTGAATTCTCAGAAATGCCCGGACTTACGTAACATCCCTTTCTAAAGACCCTGAAGTTTTGCCAACTTCAGTAATGCTCCTACAATATTTTCCAGAAGTAAATGTAACTGACCTGAAGATCTTTGATCTTCACTGAAGTTCATGGACATTTCCTGAAATCTATGGAACTACCATGAAGCTGTCGGAATCTACCCTAATGATCTTAAAACTCTCATGTTGTCCTTTTAATTATTGGAATGTCCATGAAATTCTTGAAGGATCCTGCAATTTTCCTGATGTTAATGTAAATGAAGTTTTCAAAATTTTCCAAAACTTCTCAGAACTTCATTTAAGTTCCAGTCATTTTTCAGACGTTGATTGAATTCCCAATTCCTTTGAAGTTTTTTGGACTTTCTTCTTGAAACATCTGCACTTTTTCTGATTTAAATCGAATGGGCCTAAAGTTTTCAATATTTTCCTGGAGTTTCAGGAACTTTCGGAAGTTTAATGAAGGTTTGGTAAAGTTTCTAAAATTTTCTTGACGCTAGTGAAACTGTCGTGAAGGCAATTCGGTAAAAAATACGAGTCTGATATTTTTACAAGAAAGAACTATACGAATTTTCGAGAAATTCTGAGACTCGCTATAACGTTTTCTATGGAATACTGATTTATAACTCCCCAATGTTCTCGGAACTTTCTTGTTTTGTTTTTTGAATTTCCTGAATCTCTCAGAAATTCTTTTATGTTCCTGTAATTTTCATGAAAGTAGTAAAACTGTCCTAGACAAAACGAATAAAAACCGATGAACGAATACATAAACATTTTTAAATGTTTGGAATATGATTTCTCATGTAATTTTAGCATGCTAAAGTCATACAATTTTTGTTTAATTCGACGGAGCAATATTTCTCCACTTCGAGGACACGCCTAGTCAAAATTGGAATCCTTCCCTTCGGAAATTTAGGTAGGTACCTGTCTTCACCGGAGCATCAGAATATTCATACTTGCTTGTATGTGATGGGTGCTAAAAATGTAGATCCAATTAGCGAAGAAAATGTTTATGTTACATTTTTAGGAGTCATTGATTTCGGGAGCATACAGTGCGTGCCATAAAAATGTTGGATGGATTTTTTTAAATGACCGAACAGGTTTGGGCCGAAGGGTCTTTGATTTCTATGAAACTTCGTTCATGGATATATTAACAAAAGTAAATTTCAAAAAAATCAGGGTGCCAATTTTTCCGGAAAACCTTAGTTAAAGTTTTCCGATTTTCTTGGATACCACCAACTTAAAAATATCATAACTTTTGAATCAAGCATCGTACAGTCAAAGTCAATAAACAAAAATTACTTGAAATTTTGTCAACTATTCATAAAAAATACAATTGGAAACAAATTTCGCATGAAGGTTTTCACTATTAAAGAAAGTCCAAAAGAAAAATTATTGGAAATTATCATCTGTATCATGAATTTTGATCAAACACTTGTTTTCATGTTTGGAAATTTATAAACTTTTTTCGGAGAAAGTTTCAAAATGGTATCTCATACCGTTTTTGAGATATGTCCGAATAACTGATTACCACCGGTCTAGCGCTCTGCTAAAAAAATCAAATTGTTCTTTCTCCACGCTCATCGTCCGTACGGATAGCAGCTTAAATACCTACCTACACATCTATATTATAATACAATCAAATTAAATTATATAAAAATCAAGGGGTCGGCCGAGTTGAAACGTCTAAGTCAAACGATCTGGTCGACATTATGAAACATATCTAAAACGCCGTTAAAAACCGGTTTTAGGTATAGATAGACCTATGTGTTGAAGATATTATACCTGATTTGAATAAAGAGAGTTGCTGAAGCTCGTTGAAGTATACCTTTTGGATATTAACTATTGTTAATATATCTATGAACTCTACCTATGGGCGAAGTTTCATAGAAATCGAAGACCCTTCGGCCCAATTTGTCCAATAATTTAAAAAAATCGTCTGTCGTCAATTTTTTTTTTCCATTAGTCTTTTGGAGCACAGATTATACAGTTTGAATAATAAAAAAACAGCTCGGTTTTCGGGACTGGTTACTCATGGAGCGTGCTACGATTTATTGGAAAAAGCCGAATATGTCATTTAAAAAAAAATAAGCGCTTGTCAACACTACAGTACAAACTTAGTTTATTGACCCTAGCGAATATTTATACATGTTTCATGGAATTCTGAGAGATAAAATCTGAAATCCTTTTATTTTTTCGCTATTTTTGCTTCAAACTGAGGAATATGATCTAAAAGAACTCCAGCCTGGTGGATACGATTAAAGGATCAACTTTTCCGGTTGAAAATGCATTTTTTCAACAGCAGCTTCAAATGATACAGTAATCGTAAACGCATATTCTCTTCCAACAACGGCAACTGGATTATGTACTGAAGATGTTATCGGATACCAACATTGGCAATGCAGTACCTGCAAGGTATTGAGAGCAACCATATACGAGAGGAATTCATCGGGAAAATCCTCGGGTGCTATCACCAAATTGTACAGCAGATCATACCTGAGGATCAACACATGCAACGACCGCCGAATTTCTGCCACAGAACGACTCGGAAATCATCAAACAGGACTTGTACCTTCGATTCCAGGGTCCAAATGAATCTTTCATCAGCTCAGAGTAATTTTCAGTATTCTAAAATGACCAGATTGGAAAAAAATATCTTCAGCTCTTGATCCGTCTGAAAAATGACCCTAGGACCCTAGGAGACAATATCATAGAACACATGATCCTACCATGAAAGTTATCTGGCGGGATTTGCAAAAACAAATTAAATTGCGATTCTCTGCCCTGAGGAACAAAACTTTTGAAAATGATGTTTCGAAATTAGACCCAAGTTCCAAACCCATTTGGAAGCTCATGACATTTAAAAAAAAACCTCAAATGCCTATTCCGCGCTTAAAGCAGGTGGTAAAATTTTGGAAAAAAGCTCAGAAACTTGCTAAGCAATTCGAGAGTTCCCATAATTTCAGTTTGGGTCTTACTAGTCCTATTGAGAATCAGGTTGCTCAGGATTATCTGAATTTCTCGGGATAATATTTTTGGGACTAATTTGGACGAATTAAGATCTATAACTAAAAAAATTCAAAATATGGAAGCTCCAGGTAATGATGGAATTTTATTTATCCTTATCAAAAACTCCCAGAGAGTACCTAGTCATTATTGGTACAATTATTTAACAGATGTTTTCATTTGGTATGGAAAAATGCAAAAGTTGTTTCAATGTTGAAACCGGAAAATCCAGCTGAAGCTTCTAGCTACCGTCCAATAAGTTTGTTTTTTTTTCAATAAGTAAATAGGAAACCTGTTTAAAATACTGAATTACCAAGACAGGAACAATGTAAGAACACTTACACTGATAGGCAAAATAAAGTGCCCACCCCATCATTTTTGAAATTTCTCTCATTTATTTGGTTCAAATTCAAATAAACACACCGTAGTCTGTTTCGATGTCTTACCTTTATTATTCTTTTAAAGTTACACCTATGGAATACTGAAAATATAAAGTTTTACTTGAAGTAAAAGAAAATCAATTTGGATTGAAAAAGAAAACAGTGACAAAAAAAAGTGCCCACTTCAAAAATCGGTATGTTTTCGATAAGTTTCCATCGGAAAACCCCTCGATTGTTTTTGTTTTGAAAGTTTGACATGTATTGAAGCAAACGGGTGGAACTGGTGCATTTGTACACGTGATCGCATTTGAATCAGTTGAAAAAAATGGAGGACGTAGTGATTTCGAAAGCAATTCCCGTGTGTATCCGAAAATTGGTTGTTCGTGATGTGCAAAACGGTGAATCGCACCGGTCTGTCGCTAGGAAGTACAATATCAGCAAAACAGCGGTCGGGAAAATTCTGCAGAAAATGAAATCGTTCGGATCAGTGGTGGATCGCCCTGGCAGAGGCAGGATGCGCAAAACGGATACGAGAACGGACACCAAGATCATGCGTGAAGTGAAGAAGAACCCGAAGGTAACTGTCCGCGAGATCCAGGAGGCTCTTCAGCTAACAGTTTCCAGTCGAACTGTTCGTCGCCGTCTCGTAGCACAGGGGTTGAACAGCAAAGTTGCTCGGAAGCGCCCATTTATCAGCAAGGCAAACAAAGTCAAACGGCTTAAGTTTGCTAAGGAGCATGCTGATAAGCCCCTAGAGTTCTGGAAAACGGTTCTCTGGACGGACGAATCAAAATTCGAACTGTTCAACCGGAAGCGACGGGTTCGTGTGTGGTGTAGATCGGGTGAGGAGCTTCAGGAGCGCCACATACAAGGCACGGTGAAGCATGGAGGAGGAAATGTGATGGTCTGGGGGTGCTTTTCGTGGGGTGGAGTGGGAAGCCTGGTGAAAATCGACGGGATAATGACGGCAGATTCCTACATCGACATCCTGCGGGAAAATCTGGAAGTTTCGCTGATCCAGACGGGCCTTGAGGAGAAATTCGTATTCCAGCAGGACAACGATCCGAAGCATACTGCCAAGAAGACTAAGTCTTTCTTCCGGTCATGTCGAATTAAACCACTGGAATGGCCTCCACAAAGCCCGGACCTCAACCCCATCGAGAATTTGTGGGCGATTCTCGATGCCAGGGTTGACAAAACTGGTGTTACCAATAAAAATAACTATTTTGAAGCCCTGGAGCGCGCCTGGGAAGAACTAGATCCACAGCACCTGAAGAATCTAGTGGAGAGCATGCCGAAGCGCCTGCAGCTGGTCCTGAAGGCCAAAGGAGGACACATTAACTATTAGGCTGGTATTCTTTTACTTTATTTTATGTTTTCTGGAGTTAAAATGCAGTGGGCACTTTTTTTTGTCACTGTTCTTTTTTACACCCATTTTGATTTTTTTTTCTTCGAGTCAGTCTCTTCTTTTTATCTGGTATTCTATAAGTGAAACTTAAAAAGAATATAAAGAATAAGATATAAAAAATACTACAGTGTATTTACTTTAATTTGAACCAAATAAATGAGAGAAATTCAAAAAATGATGGGGTGGGCACTTTATTTTGCCTATCAGTGTAGATATATATCATAACAATTAAGGCTGGCAAGTTACTGTAGTAGTTGGAGCACCTAGGTTAAAATGAAATGTAATTTATTTTGAATTTGAAGCAAATAAAGTGTTAAAAAAATAAAACAATCGCAGAAGTCAGTATAACTTATGGGATACTTGACAGATTGATCACAGATGATCATTGAGATGAAGTTGATCACTTAGTAGTTTAAAATAGTACTTTTGAAACGTTTCCCAAACAACAATCAATGAATTCTACCACTCTAAATGTACAATTTTGCGGAAATGATAAAATATGCAACTTTTGACTGTTCTGAAAAAACCTATCAGAATCAGCATTTATACTGGTGCTGTGCTTGGCGAAATTGCTTATTGTACTTAATTTTTGGTCGCTGAATCCGACTCTGAAATCAGATTTCGTTCAAATCAGTGCTGTAAATTTTCATATCATTCGATTGAAGATGAACCACTACAACCATTCAATCAATTCTGTGTAAACGAATTCTCACATGACCATAATTTGAAGAGCCCCTTTCTCATTCGAAGCTCATTGTCACTGTCAATTGAGTCACTCAGTATCATTTGATATAAGACAGTGAAGTATGGAAGAAATCCAGCAAAATGGTCCCGAACAGACAAGTCGACCCGATGTCGGATCAATGTAAGGCTAATTTAAGGTCGATGTCGACCCAATGTCGTGTTGTTGTCGGGTCAATTTTTAGTTTATGTCGGGTCAATGTCGGGTCAACATCGGGTTGGGGTTTGATAGAAGTCAGGTTGGTGTCGGGTTGGCTTAGCTTTTTCGCCGGAATGTCGACCAGAGCTCCGTTTGTGTGTAGGTTACACTCAATTGAATGATATATAGCGTTTCTCAAATGAGAATGATCCATGCCTTCGTCAAATGACTAAGCAACTGATATCACCCATTCGGAGGAGGTCCCGTTTGATAGCGAATAGCTACTTTTCTCATTTTCATCAAAAATGTTCAAATGATTTTGAGAATTTACAGCACTGGTTCAAATACCTATACGGATTCGTATCATAAAAATGATTTTGTTATGTTTATTGCCTACATTTAGGTGTATTTCAAACTATTTTGCTATATTGAAATTTTAACATCTGATTCTTTGTCAGCAAACACAAAGAGTATAGGTATATGCTAATTTCTGAATATTGCATAAAAATCTACATGATTAATTTCACCCCGGAATTGAAAATATGCATTTTTAATCTAATTCTAAAAAATAAACAAAACATGCAATTGAAAAACTAAATTCATACATTAGAAAAGTATTTGCCAGTTCATAATTGAAAGGTAAATATTTATTTGTGTGTGCCAAAAAATATTCAGTTTTATCGGTAAAAAGTAATCCACTTACGGTGCTTGGTTCATGAATTTTGAGTTTGCATTGTATAGCGGAAATGGCTCTAATGTTGGCCTATGGATCTAAGATTGGGCTATTTATAAATTTTATCTATATGAACGCGTCATTGGGACGGTACTAAAGGATATCGCTATTGAAAATGTAGTTGATTGCTGAATTTATGTATTACATCCATTTCCCCTATGCACGGCAAAAAAAAAACAACTAAAATTTTCTGGGAAAAATTGATCATCCCCAATTTGTTGATTTGTTTTTCTCGTTGGAATAACCATAAACTCTCCCCGTGAGTAAATTTTCATATAGTTCTGAGACGCTTCGGCCTAGAGAACTAGCTGGTTGACTACAGTGTATTTGAAAATTTTACAATTTTTGTTGGCACCTACCACAAACCGTCTTTGATACAAACAATTGTCTTTCATTATTTTTTTTCCTTGTAAATCCACAGAACAAGGCGTAGTTTTCTTAAATTATTCCAATCAATAAATTTACTCAATTTAAACATTTGTTACTTACTCATTACAAATATCAACGTTGACTGTTCGGACCGCGAAGTTCTCCAGCGGTACGCGTCGGTTAGTGTAAGCATTTTCTATCACGTAGACGCAACCGTTGAAACTCTCGTTGAACCGTTCCCCAGTGAAGTGACTTAGATCCGGAGCACCTCCTGCAAAAAATATCACCATGGTTTAATAAGTAAGAGATTCTTAGGGTTCCTGAAATTTAATGCCCATACCGATATAAACATTTCCGGGAAGGTGAATTTCTTGCTTTCCGGTTGGTCGTGTTTCTCCGTGCGCCGAGAATTGATCCACTTCCAGCCTATTTCTGTTGGCTTCACGCGTGATAACGGCAACGTGCTGTTCACCGTCGGCGACGAATACGTCTTCGTTTCGCAACGTAGATTCTTCGCCATCCAGACGCATTCCGAATTCCAGATATCCTTCATGCACCGACAGGGAGATGTAGTCATCTCCCGCAAAATTGTCTCCGTTGCGTTGACCGTACCACAAGAGCATACCATTGCTTTGCTCAGTACTAAACAAGATAGCTAACTTGGTTTCATATTGATCCGCACCGGCGACAATCGCTTTTGGATTCAACTCCAAGAATCCATCGCCACTAAATTTGGACCCGATGTTAGTAACGTATACATGTTCACAGTTCCTTCCTAGGAATCCTGAGTGACAATCGCAAGTGTACAATGAGCCGTCTTGTTTGGTGTGACAGTGGCCTCCATTTTCGCAAGGTCTCTGCGCTAAGCAAATATCTACCACAGTATCGCAGTGTGGACCTCCGTAGCCCGGCTTGCATGGGTCGATTTCGTTATCTTCGTCATTACCGTGGTGGACTCCTCCAGCATGCTGTTGGTGGCCACAATTGTATAGGTTGGCCGAATCTTTAATGTCATCAATCATGTTGATTACATTACCGGATATTTCAAGCTAAAATTGAAGATACAACTCAGGATCAAACAGTTCGTCAGACAATTGGCTCTTAACTTTGACGGTATGTACTTACATCTGCTACGCATCCTTCAAATCCTCTGTTGACTCCCACAGCGCGATTCAGTAGTATTCGTTTGTCGTATCCTCCCACGAAGATATTTGACTTGAGAGCGATGGCAGTTGCTCTTCCGATCTTAGGTTCATTGATCAGCGGCTCTTCATCGACCTGTAGATATGCTAGTCCACCGCGACTACGACCAGCAGACACTTCATGCCAACGGTTCACTTCAATCGGTACGGTTGATTGCAGTATTACTGGTGGTATTTCTGAAAATGGTGTTGGTGTTGGCTTGCGTTGGTGATATTTAAAATAAATAGGTTATCTCACTTCCTGCAACACTGTAGCGAAGTTGTACTTGACCGTCTTTAAGTACAACGGCAATGAAGTCTCCATATGTTTTTTCGTTTTCGGCGGCATACAGCAAGACACCATCTTCTAAGGAATCCGGTTTGATACGGAACTTGGCACTTCGTTTAGTTTGGAATTTGCTGCAAACAATAAAAGAAAATATTATTTATTAATGATTTCAAGTCTCATTTCTTTTTTTTACACAAATTACGAAAGCGTTTTGGTGAATTTATGCCTAACCGGGTTGACAGATAAGCAAAAAATTACATATCCGGAGTGATTTGAAATTTGGGCGTAATTGCATTTGTAAACAAACACGTCAATCGTGGATTTCTCGCTAGTAAAAGATCAATTTCAAAACTAATAACACTATCAGATAGATGAACGATTCCTCTATCATTTGGTGTAGTTTGCTCACGAGATTGAGCTTTTATTCTCAAATCTCAAATCACTCCGGATATGTTAACTTTTCGTGGCATGGTAGGGTGTGTTCAATCAAAACTTATATAAATGTTCTTCTGCCTTCTGGTTGTACTTACTCGTAGGCTGCATAGCTGCCGTCCTTGAATGCCAGTGTAGCGTCTGCGTAATGTTCGGTATACTGGCATCGGTCGCCAGTCTTATGAATTGGGCAATAACATTCGGCGCCAGACTCTGTTTCTTCGCAACGACCTATTCCGCATGTACCTGACATACATTTCTGGCCTTCAATTCTGCAATCTTTGCCGGTGTAGCCTTCCTGGCAGACACAGGAGTACCCAACGGGGCTTTGTGTGTCCAGACAAACTCCAGAATTCATGCACGGATCCTCAGCGCATGGCTCGCATGATGTTGTTCCTTCGCTGGTGATTGCTTCCTGATATAGTTGGATTTCACGACCATTGATAACTAACCTACTGATGCATCCCACAAAGCCTTCCTTAATCTCTACAGCGGTTGATGGTAGGACAGCAAAGTTTGGAACGCCTCCAATGTACAAGTTATCATCTAGATTCAATCCGTGGAACTTCAATCTATCAGGGAAGACGACTGGGCTTTGGTCATCAACGAGCATGAAACCATTATTTCTAACGCGGTTCACCTTAACGGTGTGCCATTGTCCCATGTGGACCGGTTTTTCTGGTTGTAGCGTGACCTGCTGCCCGTTGAAGTCGAATCTAAATTGTGGGAATCCGTTACGCAGTGACAATGAGATATAATCTCCCTTCGGTGGTCGTTGGCCATTGTACAGTATTAGACCGTTTAGCTTTTGTGGTTTGAAGGAGATCTCGAAGTTGAACTTAGAGTAGGTATTTTCAATCTTGTTGAAAGCCATGTAGCTTTTCGGTGATTGTGGGAAGAAAGGAATTGCACCGTTTACGACTAATGTAGTCAGCACATCTACGTTATGGCCATTGTGGCGAGCCGTGCAAATGTATGTACCCGCATCTGCCGCCTGGACATCAGTTAAGGTGAGGATAGGCTGTGAAAAAAAAATCGGATTGATTATAGGATACAATTAACTCTTCCAGACAGACACTCACAATGGTTGTATTTTGATCCGCATTGAACGAGCCTCGATCACGTGACCATTCGAATGATGTCGGATGGATATCTGTATTACATTGCAGCTTCACTGTTGAGCCACGATGGGCATATTCCACTTTAGAAGTTCGCGATGATTCCGGCAGTCTTCCCGGACTGACTTGCAGTTCAAAGTCCGAAATGTATTGCAGTCCCTCATCAGTTCGACAAATACAGGTATACTTTCCGGTATCGGCTTCGGCAACGTTCTGAATGATCAGTCTGTTTCCGTCTTGCTGCAGTTGTAAGGAGGGGAGTTGCTTAATATAATGAAACATTTCAAACGAACGGTAAATAGACAATACCCTAAAGTTGTAAGGTAACGGCGAGCCTCCCATCCTTTCCCACGTAACTGGCACATGAGAACCGGCCGACGAACTACAGTCGACCGTTACGGATTCACCGGGACTCAGATATGACATTGTAGGTTCCAATCGAAGGATTGGTAATGATTGAGGAGCTGAGGGAAATAAATAGCATATAAGAAGTCGTAGATATACAGGAGAGATAATTTTTCCCGGGATAAATTGCTACTTTTTACAGTTAGTCATTTTATTGCAGGTAAATTAAGTATACTGATATCCCAATTTGATTTACATATATTGTTTCTATTAGGTATGGCATTGTCAATAAAGCAGCAAAGTGTACAAGTAATGGTGTTAGTGTGGTTTACTTGATGTCGAAAGATGTGTGTTGTTGAAGTGTTTGGTGAAAAAATGTGGTAGAATAGTGAAAGTGGGACTTTTCAAGCAAAGTATGGTATGGTCTTAAATGGAAAAGCAATCTTCTTGAACATTAATAAGAACTTTAAATATTCAAACTTGAAACTTTCATTATTTATATTATTGGAACAGTTGCTTGTTTTAAGAAAAGTAGCAAAATTTCACACGCAAATCTAAAACACGTTACAATTATTTGTATTGAGAAGTTCTTTTTGTTAGCACAGCACGCCTGAAAACGGTTGTTAGCACTTAATATTAAGTCACAATTTAGAGTTTAATACTATCGGGTAATTACTAACACACAGAGATGTCATAAACATACAACAGTAGATCACACATAAAGCTCGACAGAGACACACTTGTAGTTTGTTTTCATGTTTTCGTGTAGTTTATACAGAGGAAGCGCATTAAAGTAAAGATAAGGAATACGAAGTAGTGTTTTCATATACTCAAAGAGAAATCAGAATGTACACTCGAAAGCAGTTAAGGCCATTTTGAGGTTCGAGATAATAGTTAAATTTGTATTATGAAAACAGTATCCAAGTTTTACGTACCCTTTCTATTGAATATATTGATTTACAGTGTAAATCGCTAGTGATGCCTGAACTTTTTTTTTAGGCGCACATTTGCTCTATTATTGTGTTTTTGGTCAAAGCAGGCGATGATCGTTTTTGCTACGCTATAACAAACATATTTCGGATGTGGTTGTGTTTTGGTTTGCGGAACAATTTTAACAAGGTAGCCGATATTCATACCCACACCACCCATGGCACACCTTGAGTCGAATTCTATCAATGCAATTTGCCTGTTTTTGTTATTTAGCTAATCCGAATGCATGATTTGTTTCTGGTTTTGTTTTTGTTTCGGTAGATTTTGCATGTACAAATACTTCTATTCTATTCTTTAACAATTTATAAGGTGAAACAAGGTCTGAGGACAGTGGTTGTACAGTAAATTCTGCAAATGTCTATACTCTTTATCTCGATATTGAACGGTGTTCTTTAATCTCTATTCTTCGGTTTTGACTGTTCCTTTAGACAAACATTGTAATAGGCTTGCATCATCAAGTGCGATACCGTGCGGGGGGGGTTCCATTCCAGCCATTTTCCTATTCACAAACATGAATCAAGTATCTATATTCATAGTCTGGATGATACGAAATCCGGAAAACTGGCAACTTAGATTTTTGCCATAAAAATCGAGCACCCCTTTAAAATGCTCATGTTTTATAGAACTTTTTCTTTTCCCGCATAATACACATTTTTTTTATCTAGGGCCTGTTCATAAACTACGTAGACAGTTTTTTAGGATTCTTGACCCCCCCCTCCCCCTGCGTAGACAATTGTCCATACAAAAAAATTAAAATTTGTATGGGCCGTGGATAATTGTCAACCCCCCCCCCCCCTAAACTGTCTACGTAGTTTATGGACAGCCCCCTAGCAGTGTTCGAAAAAACTCCAAACCTCAAATCTCATGCGTGAGCTTATTTGCCTTTCAGGATTTTTCAGGTTAAAAAAATCATTGCTAAATATTTTGGCGTTACTCATTGTTATTATTGATGTTTTTGCGACAGGGGACGGAAAACTAACACAACATGCATAATAGACTAATGAAAAATTTGAAATTTTCGTTCCACAGTGCTCAAACGGTTCCAAATTGGGTCCTGATTATCCTCCTAAAATTTGAACTCATTTAGTAAGAACCTGACTTGGCACAAACCATTTGAAGTTTGTATGGAAATTACTATGGGGAATTCATAATTTCGTTTCATATATATCTCAAAATTCATCAGTTCACTCTACTTTAGAAAATGATAACTGCGCTTGTTGGAAATTTTCTCAGCTACAAGTTTGTTGAAGACCACTTTTCGATCAAATGTAAGAAACACAAATTATTAATGTCTTATGATTATGCTCAATCAAGGCAACATTGGCGCGTAGAATAGAGGACAAAAATCATGGCTACTATGCCACACTGCAGAATACAGTGTTACCCACAATACAGTTGCTTAAACTTGCCATAAGATTATCAATCTCTTAAACAATTAGTAATTATTTAATTTGACGTTTGGCTGAAAAACGATTTTCTGCAAAGTTGTAGCTGTAGCTGTAGCTTGTTAACAGTACAATTTGGAAAAAGGCTAGAAGACAATGAACAAAAAGTTTGGTTTTCCCATAGTAATTTCTATCTAAACTTCAAATGGCCAGTTTCTTATAAAATGAGTTTAAACTTTCGGAGGCTAATCAGGACCCGATTTTAAACTGTTTGAAAACTGTGGAGCGAAAATTTAAAATTTTGCATCAGTCTAATGCATAAGCATGCTTAAGCAATTGAAGTTTGAGCAGTTTTGATGAGTTTTAAGCTGGACTGATTTTTTGGCGTTGTGAGTATGAGTGCGTGAAAAAGCATGAGAATCTTAAACGTGAGATTTGTTTGCAAAATTCGCACGCGAGTTTATTGTCTCAAGGGGAGGCTAAATGAATGTAATTTGAGATTGATTTTCCGAAATTCCTAGATTAGTTCACTGTTCCTAAATTTAAGATAAAAACTATGAGAAAATAATATATCTCCACTGGTCTACATTTTCATTTTGTGTTGTTCGCAATCTAGCGGTAAATGTTCGTTCAGTCTGTGCAATCTATTTATGACTTCGGGTCACAATTTTAAAAGTATTTGTACATGCTGTATATCTTTCAATTCCAAATTCGGTTTCCGGTAACTGTTATGTGTCGGTGAATGCATCTGATAGAGCGCTGTGTTTTGTGTGTTTTGAACTAAAACAGTGAATTAACCACATCTCAGCTAAACGAGTACAATCCTATGATAGATAAACACACACTAAAACAAAATCTAAAACATTCATAACAGTATATACTTGTTCTTGCAAATTGAGGCGTCCTCTATGCCAATAAAGATTGTTATCCAAAGAGCTGTATCGCATTTTTGAAATTTGGCAGCGGCTTGTTTTGGTTTTTGCTTTTTTCAGGCTGGCACAATTTGCTAGAATTTGTTTTTATCTGAGGGTAATCTAAGCGAGTTTGAGTTTAAGTACGAAGTAATTAAAGACTTAAGTGCTAAGCATTGAAAACAAACCGAAAAACTTAGTTGCAGCTCGTGCCAAAGAAGAGTCCACAGTTGAGGAGGTAAGGTTCGGTGGTTGGCGTATCGACTGTCGTTGGCCACGAGGATTCTGTTCCGGATAGTCGTAACGTAGCTTTCCTTTGCGCAATACACGACAGTTGCGCTCATCGGAGAAATCGGCACAGTCCGGTATACCATCGCAAATCATCCAGGACGGTATACAGGTCTTGAATATAACCACTGGGGCCTTGCAAACGTAGTCAGTGTAGGTGCACTCACCATTGATCAGTTGGGTAGTTCCGGAACCTTTGGTTAGATGACATGATGGTCGTCGCGCAGACGTTGAAGTGGTTGAGTGGATGTTTAGCGTACGCATGTATTGGAGGGTTTTAAGCGGCGATTTCAGATTGATATTTTGAAGTTGTTACAATATCGCAAGATTGGAAATGAAAAATGTCAGTGTAATAGAGAGCAATAATGTATGCGTATAACATAGCATTTTCATCACTTATGAACAATGCGATTGTACGGTCTGTGATGTCTTAGAATTACCGTTGTATGATTACACCTAAGCAGACTGGATTCAATAACAGTACGTATCGCGTTACTATTTTGCGTTTAAAGCCACTCATCGTTCAGGGACGGTATCCTACTATTTTTTTTTCAGATTGTTAATAAATAAAAAGATGATTGTTGGTTGGCAAAATAAGAAATTCTTTAAAACATGTATGCGAACTAAATAACATTTATGTATCTCGAGGGTTGCCATGTTATCCCTAGAACAAAACTTATCCCTTAACACTTCAAAGTGTACGTCATATACATGAAAGGCAAAATCGACACTTGTTTTATAGATTTTGCCTCGCTGAATCCGAATACAGCTATCCCCCGAAGAACGCGTTACCCACTTTTTCAACCAGTCGGTCTGATTTTTTGCATGTGAGTAGTGCCAATGGAGAACTAGTCACTCGCAGAAAATCAGAGCGCTTGGTTGAAAACCCATCGAGACAAAGCGGTGGGTAGAACTCATTGGGTAACGCGTTCTTCGGGGGAAAGCTGTATCAAATTAAGGGGTTATACTAAGTCAGAACACCAAAAACAAGCAATGTTCCGAGATTTTGTTTATTGCAATGGCGTTTGCATTTATTTGATTTTAGCCAGGATCTTGCCTGACCATCTGCTGTTTAACGTTATGAACTAGCCTACGGCTAAAAATCACGGTAATAAAGAAAGAAAAAAAAAAAATATTTGAATGAGACTTGTTGTATTTGATCAAGTTATCAAGCTGTTACGACCAATCTCCGAGAGTACGTAAAAAAGGCGTTTTGCGTTGACCAAGACTGAGCAGTTCCTGGCCAAATAGAAGTTATTCAAATATTTGATTCTACCTCTCAAAATTCCATGAAACTTCCAATAATTGTTTGCTAGGGGCAATGAACCAAGTTTGTGCTGGGATTCGTTCATTATTGTGACTCACGCCTAATTGTTCAAAATGGCGTATTCGATATTTTTCAATAAATCATAGCACGAAAACGGCTCATCTAATCGAAATGACGTCTGAAACAAAGTTGTAGGAAACTGGATTGCAAAAAAGTACACTGAATTGAAAAAAGTCACAAATTTTCATAGAAAAATAAAAAAAAAGCTGTTAAAAACTTTTAAATAACAAAAGAACTACACTTTTAAGATTATTATACTTATTATCTTTTAGTATTTTTTAAAAACTTTTTTCCACGCAATATATATGTGATTTGTGCATAGAGAATGATTTTCTGAACTAAACAAAATACTTTATGAAAAAAAAAAAATGATTTGTGGAAAAAAAACATAGAAACAAATTCACTAATAGTTGATGTTCTACGATTTCGGTCAATTTTGAAGTGTCCATTGTGTCCATTTCAGCAAAGTTAGCATTTTTCATACGCGTTCGAATAATTATAAGTTTAAAATCACTCAAAATGTTATTGAAGTTTAATTTTTTTTTCATTTTGACGAAAATTTGAGATTTTTTTTACCGTTTATTTTTTTCTGAAATGGCAATCCAGTTTGCTTCAACTTTGTCTCAGACGTCATTTCGATAGGATGGGCCATTTTTGAACTCGAAATACCAGAAATATTTAGCTAGTATATCCAGTTTTTCACGCTCGCACATGGCAAAAGCTACACTGAACATGCATTTTAAAATCCGTGCAAGTGCAAGCCGCCATTACCAAGCGCCATTAGCAAGCGTGGAAAGCTGGATTAAAAAATCTTGTCTGTAATCGTTGGAGTAAGTAAAATATCACTTTGGAATAAAATGGGGGCTTCTCAAAGTATTTTTTTTTTAATTTTTGACGTATAATTTCGTCATAAATTGTTTGATGAGTGCTCGCGATGAGTTAGCACTCAGCGATTATAAAATAGCTAATTGCAAAAAAATTGCAAAAGCAAAATTGTCAGGTTTTATGTGTCATACTCGAACTTTACATCCACAAATATAAATTATCATTATAATATATTATATTAACAATATGATCAACTCTTTCGCTTAGCTGGCGAACCGAATTTCTAGCGATGAAAGTACCTCTGTGGCCAAAAAGGCTACCAATGTATTTGTTTATTGTCACGAGGGGTAAACCAAATGAAAATTTGTTTAATATTTCAAATGAATGTATTTCAGCATTTTATTTTATTTGATGACAACAGTGACATGTCAGACACAATGTAATTAATGAAAATAATTTGACTCTTGCTTTTGTAATAAGTACTGTATTCACACCCCTCGATTGTAATTGAATGATTGTTGCTGACCTTTTTCAACGCTAGATGGTGCGTGAAGCAATATTTTGCAGGTCGCCATTGCAACATTTGAAAAGGCATGAATGGATCATATTGTTAATATGATATATTTGTTATCATTATAATATCTCATAGTTTCATAATTCTGAACAATAGTATTTTGGCTGAAATGAGAATTTGTAAGTCTAGTGAAGCCTTGTGTGAAAACTTGAGCCAGAATGGTTCAACCGTTCCCAAGATATCTTGGTCACCGATTTGAAAAACATAGTTTTGAGAAAAACGCGTTTAAAGTTTCAAAAACGTTTTACCTCTACTGTGTTACTTGACCTAGAGTCGGTGTATAATGAGTCACGCCAAGAGTGAAGCCAAGTCTACCTATTGAACTGTCAAACCGGCTACCTATCGTGCAAAGTAAACAAACATTACGATGCTCTGAAAGGTCCACGATAGGTATTGCAATAAAATATAAAATATAATCGAAGAAATGATCATAAACACGCAGTGAGCATTAAATTGTCATGGGATACGTTGGGTACCAATCAGTAATGAGAATTTCTACTATTTTTTGTTAAGATGATTGGACAAAATCACTGATATAATGAGCCGCTATTTTTTTTGCTCGCTAGAAGTCATTTGAAGTTGATGTAGCAGTCCTCTGTTGCCAAGTGAAAAGAAACGGAACCTTTCGAAAACCGTGATGCAAGTTCAACTGTTTTTCTCTTGGCGTGATTCATTATACACCGACTCTAACTTGACCTATAAAGAATATACAGTAACCCCTCCTTATATGCAGTGGGTGGTACCGCTGTCCGGACCAATAAGAAATTTGTCGATACCTTGGCACACTTAATCGTTTCGAACGCTTTTTTGCAGCTCGGAAATAGAAATGCAACCGTACTGTTATTGAATATCAGCATAAATCTTCTGCTTTTCCCTGTAATCGACTAGAGATGCTCCTGGATGTTTCGATGTTTTTTTTTTATCAAATCTAGAATTACTTAGAACTGTGCCAACAACCAGTCAAACCATGCTTTTACGAAATAATTTCGTCACAATTGGTTAATCTGATGAGTTCTTTTCCGTTAAGACCAAGCTACATCGATATTCTGGCAGGGGTAAACGAAAACTATGCGGCTTGAGGTCAGTCAATTATTATCAATGATACATAGGAAAGGGATAAAATTTTGGTAATGATTGATTAAAATATGATGATCAGGTTTTATTTGAGTTATAAATGATTTATTTCTTGTAAGTTATTTTTTTTTTCGATATAATAATCTAGAATTTGTGCTACTTTTGACATCTAATATATACTGACACATTATAAAAAATAGGCTCCTAGATATAACATTCACTACCATCAGATAACACAATCTACGGTTACATTATGGGCTGCTCCCGAAAGTTGCAACTGAATATACCTGAACTAGATTAGGAAGGAATCTAGCTCTTATTAATCACGTTTTGAACATAACAAAAGAAGCGTGCTAGAGTAGGTGTTAGTTCGAGAGGTTCTAGGTAATTAGAAGACTTTGAATGTAAACGAAGTCAACGACATAGAAAATGGGAAAGAGAGAAGTGATTTATTTTCTCTTTGGTTAATTTAATTCCCTGTATTGATTGGTGTTAGCAAGCTGACAGACTGATTGAAATACAATTTGGGGTTATTGAATGGTTTATATTGATTCTGCGCTACCGAATTAAAATTAGTTTGTGTTAAAATATTCGTATTCGTGGTAAATATATCAATACTGAATTTGAATATTCTGACTAATGTAGTAGCTAGCTATCTATCTCTATCTTTCGAAGTGTTACCCCAACAAATCATACTTCTCCCGCTTACAGAATGTAAAAAGTTCATCTACGATTTAGTTAGAATCCAAGAAAGAAAATATTTACAAAATCACAAAAAAATGAAATAAAATGTCCATACTCAGTTAGGCTCCTTGGCAGAAATTTGAGTATTTAAAATGTAGAATGAGTGAATTAAATTTGATTATTGTGTGAAAAGTGGTGGCAGTATTGGAACGTAACTTTGCTGGCAGTGATGTGACCTATGACTTCAGTTGTGGACATTAAATTTCATTTTCATACTTTCAAGAAAGATAGAGATACGTTAAAATAGATAGATTAGTTATTCATGCAAATTGGCTAGAAGGTCAGTTCCTGAATCGAAGTTTTAAAGACTTCCCAATTTCCACTGAACATGGCAGTGAATATGATTCTCTTCGCTTGTCTGTAATCAATAACGTCTCATGTATGTTTGCCACCGCCCAGCACCACTAGTAGTAACCGGTTGTCGACGATTTCGTGGGTAGTACTCACCCTTAATGGCCACATCAACAAAGTCGATTGCTTCCGATCCATTCGGGTACGTCATACGGCATTCGTACCGCCCGGCATCCTCGTCCCGAATGCGATTCAGTTGCAGCACTCTGTCTTCGGTGCGCACATGATAGGGTAGAGGATGGTCCAAGCGACTCCAGTGGTACTAGAATATAACAAGCTTCTGGTTAGAGGTGAGATCTGAGATTTAATTCGAGTGAAAATATGAGTGAAAATATGAGTGAAAATATGAGTGAAAATATAAGTGAAAATATTGTGATAATTCTTGAACCCTTCGTGTACTCAGTTATGAAAACCTATTTGAAAATATGTACCGTCACTCCTTGGTAATAGTGGTTTTCGGGCAGCTTGCAGTCTAGAGATATAGATGATCCTCTGTACACCTCGTGAATGCGGCCATGTTGGGGAATTTCCGGAATCATTTCGTTTCCTGGAAGAAGATCAGAAATTATTTATCCGATTTCTGGATTGATCACAATTGGATGTGCTGTGGATGCCTTGTGGAAGGGGCCGGGAACATAATTATGAAATAAAAACGCGTAAACTTTCCCTTAACCGCCCCGCACGTTTTTATTTTTCTAAACAACTGGGAAAAATTATTAAAATCCAAGAAAATCAGTTTTTCTTTAGATTTTGCACGTCAAAATTGATATCTTTTTCAATATTTTTAGAAAAATCCATACGTAATTATTTTTATCAGAGCGGTGAACATCCCCTTGTAATTAACAGATAGTGACGATCTGATCTGTAAAGCTCTAAATAAGGCATGATCCAAAGTGTAATATTACAACAGATGGCTCTGTTTCAGTGGTAGTGAAATCCAATTTTCGAGTCAACATTAACATCAACATTAACGACTATTTTTTTTTTTTTTTATTATAGTCACTTTAACACTCTTGGGTCATTCGTGACTTGTCCGGGGGTGAGATTTGAACTCGTGACTTTGGCGTGAGAGGTATGGATTTTAACCACAACGCCGGGGTCGCCCCCACATTAACGACTATTCATTTATATATAGGGTAATTTGCCAATTGTTGCACACCACCCAATTGTTGGACACTTCACATTGTTTACTGTACAGCATTTATCCATGACTATGATGTTTACCGCTCATGGTGACATGCTAATCAGTGATCAATTGTTGACAAAACTCAGAAACTCAGTATTAGAAATATTGTGATAAAACATGTTTTAAATATTTTTAATTTTGTGCTTATGATTTCAGGCGGTTTCTTAATCTTTCAGCTAATAATCCTCAAAGGTTAAATTAAATAATCTTTACAGGAAAATGTTGGTTATTCTTTTATTGAACGATTAGCCATGTAAAATTTACAGAGAAAATTTACAGAGAAAATAATAATGTTCAATAATTGGATCACCTTCTGCATTATTGTCTATGGGATAACGTCTAAAGCTAAATAGCCTATATAAAAAAGAAGCACATTTGGAGGATATTTTGCTTGCATTATTGACCGGTTTAATAAAATCAATAAAATAAGTGATATTGTAAATACAATATACCGTGGGTTATATAAATTATGTTTATTCATCTAAAAGAATCACTGAATAATTAGTTTTGCTGAAAAATGTCATTCCAAGATGCATTTAGCCATATTTTATGGGTGCGCAATAATTAGATACAGTGTGCAATAATAGAATTTCAAAGCTTCAAAGAAATGCTTCGCGTATTTTTTTGATTAATTCCTACATCAAAAACGTTATCAATCTCGTAAAATCACAAATTAACAAAGAGCACGTGCTTAGCTGTGCAACGATTGGAAAATTACCCTAGATATTAATATTTATTCCCACTGCACATTTCCTAATTATTTTGAAAAACATTGCTTTTCAAATCAAAAGAACATATTTCCTTTAATTTTTACTACCATTCTTCTATGAGATCAGTACACTGAAACAAATCGGCATGTATGGTTTATTGGATCCATCTTATAACATAGGAATGTAAGAAGGTTTATTTATTCTATGTGAATATTGATAGATTCCAATGGATTATCAGTTGAAAACTGCGTCTGTGATACGGAATGATGTCTATCGTAATTTCACATACTTAGTACATAAAATTTCCACTATACAGTAGTAGTTGCTCCGTAACGTGAGTAGATCACATTTTCGTGGTACATTAAGGGATGTAAGATCTACCACCGATTCCGTTACTTCAAACTAGGGAACAGTATTTTTCAGTAATCAAAGGAACACATTTTAGTCCTGCTACTTTTTATGCCTTGTTGATGGTGAAAAGACTCGGCTTTGTCCACCGCGGATGATCTTGAAACAAGAAAAAAAAAGAGTTAGTTAGTTCTTCTTCTTTTTCGCATTTCAAGCTTATCGTTTATAGCATTTTAGCTTATTGCGTGCTCTCAACTTAATTTTCAAGATGCACTTCCACAGTTAATAATTGAGAGCTTTCGATGCCTGTACCATTTTTACATTAGTATAATTGTGTGGCAAGTATCATCATACTCTATGCCCAGGGAAGTAGAGAAATTTTCCAACCCGTAAAATTCCTAGACCTAGAATCGAACCCAGCCACCTCTAGCATGGTCTAGCTTTGTAGCTGCGCCTTTATAAACTGAGCTAAGGGAGGCCCCAATCATTAGATAGTCATATAATTTTAGCTTTTACGAAAACCAACAGCAATTTTCGGCATGTTTTTGGTTCGAATATTACTCCCAATATAATACATCTTGTATGATTGTGATGCAGGCATTATTGAAATAATTTTCAATGATGTTATCGTTCACTCCTTGAACGGGATACAAATTTAATGCAAAATTGTTTGTCCAACAACATATTGCTAACAATAATAATAATGTAATGAATAATGTATTAAGATTTAAAAAAACGATTCTACTGCAATATTTACTATGTTAAGATTCTAATTGTAACGGCGCCGGTGGTGTAGTGGTAAGCGTGATTACCTCTCACCCTAGCAGGCCTGGGTTCAATACCAGTTCTGAAGCATAACATCTCTGATCACGCCTTCCTTCGGATGGGAAGTAAAACCGTTGGTCCCCGGTTCATGAGTTGATGGGTTGATAGGTAGGGTCCAGGTGTGGGAGCTGCCTTCCTGGCACGTCGGTAGCATTGGTGCTCAGCACGGAAAACAAGATCGACGGAAAAAACAAACCAAAGAAAAAAAAAAAAAAGATTCTAATTGTAAGCCTTCTTCACGGCTTATACAGATTCTAGCAATAGTACTAGAACATCATGAACCAGTTCCATCAATTCATGTTGGTTGTTTTATTGCACACAGGGTAGTAAGTAAGTTTTTAACAAACGATACCACCGAAGCGGAACATACATTTTTCAGTGCTATTTTTCTTCACTCTAGCAAAACTTCCATGTCGGGAGAGTTGTTATAATTTCATGGGACTTGAACGAGCTTAATCTCGTCAAAGTCAGCTGTGGCCCAGTGGAATCAAGCGATAGCATCACTTATCAAATAGGTTTGGATCGAATCCCAAATCAGCTATAATAAAAAAGACGCAATTGCGAAAGCTCCCACTGCCCTGTTGTTTATTTTTTGATTTATTTTTAGAATCCATAAAATGTATGTATTAAAACAAGAAATAGATTTCTTGTGGTTTTCATATACATTTTAATTATATTGATTTATGACATTGTATTGTAGAAAAAAAAAAGAAGCTTATGCTTATGGGTTTTAAATCCATTTCAGTTAATTCGTATAATTTTATGGATTTCACTTATCATATGACGATCATATAAAAGTTATAAACTTATCAGCATTGTAAATGTATCAGATATACATATTGCATTTTCCTGACACATTTTCAATCATAGTGTCTTCATTGGATTTTCTTATAGCCCAAATTTATTAAACTTATACATAACGGGAATATGTGATATTGGTCAGTGTAGGAGGTAGAATCCGAGAGCAATGTGAATGATTGAGATAAATACAAACGAATGTGCTGCCATGTTATGGTGAACAGCCCAAAATCGATGTCTTTTCACCTGGGCAGTATTCTGAGCTACTATATAGCGAGTATACTACTAGCACCTCCTTCAGGAACATTATAGCAGTGAGTATAGGCTCCCCCTATTGGCAAACTATTCATTTGCACCCCAATATATTCCACAAAGACGTAGTCCTGCGTCAAAAATCTACTTACTGTTCACTATCACTTCTGCCACTTTGGTGACATTTCCTTGACGATTGGTGGCCGAGCAATAATACCGCCCTGCATCTTCCTGTGTGATTTGCGTGAACTGCAGATACTGCCCACTGACTCGTATCCTGTCCGGTAAATGCTGCCTATCTTCGCCGTGCCATCTGATATGGATTGGCTGTTCGCCGGTAGCGTTGCAAATAATAGTTACCGTTTCTCCAGACCGCACAATCATTGGCATCACTGGGCTGAAGGAAATACGTGGTGGTTCAACGACCTCGAGCATGATTTGCACAATGGTAGTAGGAGCTGGGGCAATATCGTGGGCAATGCAATCGTACATTCCGATAGCATCATGACCAGTGTTTTCGATGATCAAGTGACCATCACGGAGGACTGATCCAGCGGGTAGTCGGCGTCCATCAGAACGTCTCCATTCGGTACGTGAACCTCTCGATGCCTCGTTACAAACGAGTTCAGATCGTTCACCCAGGATGGCTCTATAGGTATGTTTTTGCGGACGGTCGTAATAGGGTGGACGCGGATGCGTATCTCTGTCCGAGCCTGATGGTCCCGGACGCGGATGCGTATCTCTATCGGTGTCGTACGGTCCTAGGTCTCCACGTTTCTCTTGCACTTGGATGGTGATGAATCGTGAATCAGTGCCTGCTGGACTAGATGCTACGCACTCGTAGGTTCCGGAGTGTTTGGTCTCGGCTTGGAATATGTGAATGTTGGCTGATCCAAGTCCTTCATAGCGCGATAAATGTCTACCGTCTACTTCGTGATGTTGAGGTGGTTTTATAACGACCGTAGGCTCTGGTTTGCCTCTGGCCGAACATTGTATACTCAACTCATCCCCTTCGTACAGTTTATATTCTTCAACAGCTGGAGAAATGGTGATAATCGGAGCCAGCTGAACGTCGACTGAGGCTGTGAGAGACGTTGAACCAGCATTGTTCTCGGCTCTACATTCATACTCACCAGCATCTTCCAGTGTAACCTCACGCAACCTGTATGTTTTAAAATAAAAACAAATTCAATACATGTGAGATTGAAACACCCCACTTCGCTACTTACGTGATCACTCCTGGGTAGTCCTGGGTGATTCTGGTAGATAGAGGCCTTCGATCTCTGCGCACCCAAGTGAGCGTTGGGTATGGAACACCGGCTGTAGCGCGACAAGACAATCGAGTGGATTCGCCAACCTTGATTACCTGTGGTTCGGTAGGATAGAGTTCCAAAACTGGAGCTTCGCGTCCTAGTGAAAACAATATATGTAAAATAACATGTGTTAGTTGTTCTGAAAGTTGATGAAAACAACTAGTTTTCATTAAACTGTGTAATCACTGAAAAAGTACATTTAGTTAACTTTGTTATGTTAAATTTACCGTTCTCATCAATTACTGATAGGCATTCAAAAAGAAGATCCGACATTTAATACATTCAATATAGATCAGCAGTGATCTTATGTTCTTTTAGGTTATTATATCAGGATAAAGTAACAATAGCACTTACGATCTATATCAACAACTGTGTATGACCGATCCATTCCTTCACTGTTTTCGGCGACACAGATGTATACACCACCGTTGGATGGTTGGGCATTCAGTATTCTCAGAACGTTACCGTTTTGTTGCACATTATTGGCATATGGTTTACCGCTCTGTAGTGTGGAAGGAGGAATAAATGAGTTGAGTAGCTAATGCTATTATCATGTTTCTCCTCTCTCACCAATGTCCATTTAACTGTAGGATGTGGATTTCCGCTAGCTTCACAGGTTATGCTATAGTCTGCTCCTTGAGTGACCAAATGCTTGTTGTCCAGAGGTTTCACACGGGGCGCAGTTCTGTAAGTAAAATTGCATGGATCATTCAATGATGCAACTTGAAAACCGACTTTCAGGCACGCACAAATCTGGTCTCATTGGTGTAATTATAACGTCCACGTAGGAAGTGCGTTCACGGCCGCTGGGGAAGATTGCAGTACAAGTATATTGACCAGAATTATCTACTGTAGCGTGATCGATGATGAGCAATTCGTTCTGAACATAGCTGTTTCTCGGTAGACTAGGTTCTCCTGTCTTGGCCCATTTGATTTGACCAATCGGTTGGCACACACATGTCAGTGTGATCTGTTCTCCAGATCGGCCTTCATAATTGTCCGGGTTAATCTGTACAGTCTCTTGCGTAGGCTGGGTTGGTCTTGATTCACGCACATAGACCTGGAGGATCTTATCCGATTCGCCTATGTCGTTGCGAGCTGAACAGCGGTAAGTGCCTTCATCTGATTTTCGGAGTGAGTTGAAGCGCAGCAATCCATACTCAATGATCACATTCGAGGAAAGTGGATGATTGTCCATTCGTTCCCAGGTAATCACAGGTGTTGGGAAGCCGGTTCCCGAGCAAGTTACGTCAGCTGAGCGGTATTCTTCGAGGTTGATATAATCTGGAGAAATGGTCACCTCTGGTTTACGCTGAGGTGAACCTCCTGATGAAAAACAATCCGAAGAAATGAGATTTCAATAAAATGTCTACAACAAAATTTCTACAGACCTTCCACGGAAACAGTAACCTGCTGATAGGCAGTATCCGGTCCACTGCCCGCTTGACATACATAAACACCGCTGTCGGAGATTTGTACATTGGTAATGATGAGGGTGCCACTTTCAGTGTAGGCCGATTCCGGCATTCGTCCCCCTACTCTGTCCCATCGTACTTCGATAGGTCGCTGAAATATCGGGTCTTACGTTACTACTTGAATATGCTTCTTCATTAAATAATATTTTACCTTAGATACAGTATACCGTGCTGTACATCCTAACTGAATATTACGTCCGACCTCTACGATGTGGATGGTCGGCGATGCCACAACAACCTCGATGACTGGAGGTGGCGATGGACGGAGTGGAGGCGTAGGAATGTCGGTATATCCTGTGTTCATTGGAATATAATAGATTAGAATGGCGATTTTATGCAATGGGCTCAGGACTGTTAGTTACTTCGAAGAGATCATTAGTAGTAATAAATAATTAAATCTCTGTTAGGTGGCATATCTAGGAAGCTTATTGAAGTGAATATACGATTATGTTGTATAAACAACATTGATTGATTGTTTTAATGCTAATGTGGAGGTGGAAATATTGGTTTTACGTAACATACATAAATGACGTAGCATATGAGGGGGGTGTTTCAGCCATGTATTAAGTATAGCAAAATACGCTACGATGAGGGAGGGGGTTTAAAATTGGTAAAAAAACATGCTACGTCATTCATGGATGGTACCTTAGCACATAACCGAGGTAAGAGAGTAAAATCGCTCCGTATCGATACGTTGAATACAGCAGTTATACCATGAAGCCTTTCTACATATTCACAAGTATGATTCCTGTCGGATCAAAAATTCTTAAAGCTTTGGACGGTTAGTTGTGTAGTGGTTGTAATCGTGACAGGAATCACACGATTTGATATTCCACGCTTCGATGATCCTTTTGATATCGATTAATGGGAGGTTCACTTTATAGACATCTGAACTAAACGAAAGAGGGTAACAGTCTATTGATGAGGAATACTTTTTGAAGATGGTAAGAGGAAACATCAATCATTATAGCGAGTGGACTGAAGTCTTGGATGAATCGAAGTACTAACGGTTTAAGAGTAGTGAAAAGTTTAGTTAAAATATGAAACGGTTGTTTTCATGAAAAAGAACAAAAGAAGGTAGATTATATAATTCCATGTGTTTTTTTTTAGTTCGCATAATTTTCGACAGATGTCTGGGTTGTCAATGAATGCAAGCAACTAGTGGAGGAGAAACACCCCTATGGGTCTGAGTTCAATCCCAGCCGAGGTCGATGGGATATTTCTGAGGCATAATAATCTCTGGTCACGTCTTCCTTCGGAAGTGGTTCCGGCCGATGTGTGTTGAATGGGTGCGATATCCTACGAAGGTGTGGAAGCCGTCAATGGATGGTAAACGATGTCCGTCGTTGATTGGCACTAGATTGCGGAACAAAGACCGACGTTAAATAAAGGAATGAAGAAGAAGAAGAACGCGAGAAGAAGGGTGAGAATGTTGCAGCTTCGCACTCGAGCAAATGAGGAGCTTTGCGGACAAACTAGGAACAGAAAAGGTTTGTTTTTCGGAGGAAGAAGCATGAAACGCCAACAGGAAGACTGCAAAGGGAAGGAACAACTGTACTGCGTTAACGATAAGTTCAATACATATGTGCTGCAAGCGGAGACCTAACTAGACGGAAATCTGCCTACGCACGAGTTTGCACGGTGGAAGCAAGTACTATGACGTAGTACTCGCAGAAGAAGATAGGTTCCCAATCCCAAACCTACATGATGTCGAGAAGGAAAAAATCGCTTGAAAAACAATAAAGCTGTATTCAGACGTGAACGGTATTGGCACACGCGGGGCGAGATTTGTGTTGGTAATAAGGCTGAGGCAAATAGACTTAAGAATTTCATAAGGCTCGTCTTATAAACAATTCATATGCATTTCATAAGCGTGACTTATGAATGATTTTCGTGTAAAATCAGGTAGCTCCCAAGCGGCCATGGTTCGGTTCCCGTCTGCTCCGATTTATTATTTTACTAGCTGAGTGTGCCCGGTATTGCTCGGGATTCAATATTAGCTTGAGTTTATGCGCCGATTTAAAAAAAAAGCATGCTATATTGTACGTAGCCCCCCCCCCCTATTATCTAAGGGGCTACCCCCTATGATTATCTCCTTATACCCCCACACTCGCCCCCACAGGCCTAATTTGGTTCCATTTGCTTGATTAGTTCTCGAGTTATGCTGAAATTCCTGTTTCATTTGTATGGGAGCCCCCCCTTAAAGAAGGGGGAGGGGTCTCGAACCATCATAAGAACCTTCCACGGTCCCAAAAACCCCTGTATACAAATTTTCACGCCAATCGGTTCAGTAGTTTCCGAGTCTATAAGGGTCAGACAGACAGACAGACAGACAGACAAACAGAAATTCATTTTTATATATATAGATAGATTGTCAACATTATTTTTAATAAGGCAACTCAATGAAATTCTTTTGTCTCAGTGTAGGGAGAGAGAGAGAGAAAAGCACTAGTTGTCTCTCTCATACCAATTAAAATCTAACTCCGCTTCGCTCATGCACGCTCAGGTATACGTTAAAGCTACTGGTGTTTTCCAACTACCAAGCGAGTTATTATAGTAAATACAGTGGTGAAGCACAGGGTAATTACCATGATTTGGGAGGAGGAGAAACAATCTACAAAAAGGATGACAAGTTAGATTGCTGCAATTACAGCGTGGTCACACTATTGATTGCCGCCTACAAGGCTCTCTACCAAACACTATGGCTCTGTCTATCATCCAGAGTAAGAGAGTTCGTCGGGCAATACTTACTAGGCAGGATTCATGGGTGCCCGCGCTACCACAAACCAGTTTTTTTTTTGCAATCAGGCAGGTTCTTCAAAACATCCGCAAATACTACCTGTCACTAGGGCGCTTCATTTAGCAAAAAGTATTTGCTAACTTTGCAGGCCCTTTCCAGTTTGATTAATGACTCAAAGAGTTGATTAAAGTTTAGGGGTCGCGTAAAAGGTTTAAAATTTGGATGGATATTACTACTGATTTTAGTTGTCGAAATGGTGTCGAAGTTAATATGATTGCTATGAGGCTAGTCATAGTTCGGTAGCAATTCAAGAGATTTAAATGCGAAAAAATGACAATATATTGTAAATTGTTGGCTAAATATCTGCCTGATACAGTAATGAACTGATTTTGTCAGCCCTTCCACGCATCAGACATTTATCTTTCAATAATTTAACATAACCGTAATTCCAAATCTTTCTCATTCATCTTTAAGATAGATGTTTAAGGTATACTTTGATTAAAAAACCCATGGCTTTTGCAAAACATTAAAAAACATTGAAAAAGGGGGCTGACAAAATCGCGTCATTACTGTAACAGCATCAATTTCATCACAGAGCAAATCCACGTCAAATAGCGAGAAAATAAACGAATTTCAGATTTTACTTCTGAGAATTCCATAAAACTTCGCATAACTGTTCGCTGGTATGTGCTGGAATTCGACTATTTTGAATTTTGGCCTAATTTCTCAAAATGGTGTATTCGATATTTGTCAATAAATCATAGCATGAATACGGCTCATCTAATCGAAATTACATCTGAGAAAAAGTTGAAGAAAAAAGGCAAATTTTAATCAAAAAAGGAAATGAAAAAACATAAAATACCATAAAAAGTACTGCATATACTATACTGCAAAAGATTTTTAAACTTATGTTTATGTTAGAAAGATTTTTGAACTTATGTTTATTTGAAACCCGAGCAAAGTCCAGCATCAAAATGAGAGCAAATTGAAATCAAGTTTTGATATCAACATCAAACTGAAATCATAATTTGATTTCAGTTTCGCAATTCACAAATTTGATACCAAATTTTGTTTTTATTTTGCTGTACATTTGCTCTTCAAAAATATGTTGTTGCGGGTTTGTTTTCATTGCCTTAGCATAACATCAAATTGAATACTTGTTTTGTTATCAACAGGAAAAAATTATATCAAATTTAGTTTTTAGTTTGCTCTCACTGATAGCAGAAATAGTTTTCAATATGATGTCACAGGAAGATTTTTTTGCTCTCAATTTTGATATTTTAACCGTTAAAACGACCAAAATGACAGCAACCTGAGTAATCATTATCAGCGAAATCACAACATCAAATTAAGATTTCCATTTGATCTCAGACTTTGCTCGGGAAGCTTATCAAAATTAAAAGATTGAAGGCTGAAGCCATGCAGATTGGACTCATTAACCCATCGAAGACGTAATATATGAGAAGGAAGCTCATGAAAAATGAATCAATGAAATCGATGTTGTTGACGAGTCCGTGTGTTTGGCCTCACTGGTGATAGCCGAAAATGTTACCAACAGAGAAATGTGGAAATATGCTTAATTTGGACTCCGTAAGACGCTAACTAACTAACGTGCCCTTAGCAATTTTGAATGGAAGGTTTTGCTTGGCTTGGAATCCGATTGGTAAATGACAGTGATGAATACAGTGAGCTAGGGCAAGGTTATTAGGCAAAACGGGTCATAAGGCTCAAAACGATTGGATATGCTGTGCAACAATATGCATCAGCTGGCATTTTTTTCAGCATCTCCTTCTGAAACTTCAAAAAATGTTCATAATTCCGTATATTAAAAAAAATCCAGGTTTGATCATGACAAGAATATCAAGGTTCTGCACTTAAAACCACAATGCCAATACTTATTTATTAAATTACTAACCTAAGCTAATGTTGATCTGATATCTTTTCTAGTTTATGATTTATCATAGCAGATTTTTCCTACTTTGAGATATCAGTGGTTCTTTCGAATCAATAATTTTATACATCTTGTGTGAACTGCATAGTTTGTTCCCGTTTTGGATGCTCATTGTTTAAACCGAAGCCATCCAGATACCACCAAATGGCAACCTAATGCCACAGAATCATTCAGTAGTGGATGTACGTGAAAGCAATTTTGTTTATAGAGCATGGGACATCGAGGGTAGAGAAGCAAACATAAAGCGAGTCAATTGGTGAAACCATTTTGGAATCGTTTTAGTAACGAGAATAACAACAGCTGTAAATCTAAAGAGACGAAAAACTCTCTACAATAAAGACTTAGAACAAACAGTTGTACTGTATTGAAATATAGGAGATTGTGGGAAAGATTACCATATGGAGCAAGATGGCATTTCTTTTATTCTTAAGGTATTCTTTGGGATTGTTAGTGTTTTGCATTGTTATTAATCATTCCCTATACTAGGAATATTTTTGTAACGTGTTTTGATGCCCATATACCAGGGTGGCCGCCTTGCCCCTTATGGCCATCTTGTCCTACTTTCCCTTAGATCTGAATAGAACTAACTATCCACACTCGATTTCTGTTTTCTTTTGATTCCTTAATTCCACATTTAAATGACTTCTGAGTCAAAAAAAAAATGGAGTTTTCCGGGTTATGCCTGTGCCAGAAATGTCAGGCAATGTTACATCAATTAATTTTGGTACAAATAACTATTTTATATCAGTTGCCCCCGGCGTTGCACAGGAAATTGAATTAATATGCTACCATACTTCTCAATCAATGATACAGCTAAGTAGACACAAAATGATCTTAACAAATATTAAAAAAAAAACACTTAAATAGCTTAAACATTCTTCGAGCGCTAAAAGGATCTTTAATCGCTAAAATTACGCAGCCTTAAACGCAAACAACTCGCCGAAACTGTTTAAAATCTCCTAAAATATCTACCATAAAACGCCAAAATGACCTGCAAAATGTCAAAACGGCTTTGAAGCGCTAAAAACAGCAACAACATTAAATGATAAATTTGTCTTAGAAACAGCCGTCCAACTTCAAAACGACGTTAAAAGTTCTGTTAATAGTGTTTAATGCAAGAATAATTTAAAAAAGCTCAGTGTTCACTCGGCTGTCGACAAAAGCAGGCCACTCTCGATGTGTGCTACGCGATCGTCTGTTTTCTCGGCAGCAACCATTGTGTGGTCCTCCTCATTGTTCTTCATCAGCAGTTCTTTCGGTCGATGCGTCGTCGACTTTGGAAATCAACCGTTTCGTGATAAGTGTGTGAGTGCTGACCACGTTTTGCGTCCATTGCTGCAATGGACGCGCTCTGACCCTCGTTGGCGCACAACAATTTGCCATACAATGAAACTACTAGAAGCGGCTCCAGTTCTGATGGAGGAGGCTTTTTGGATAGCGGAAGATAAAGTGTTTATTGTGTTGTACCTTTTGACTATAGTTTTAAGATGTATTGTATAGTGACCAAGAATCCTCGGCTCTGTAAAGTTAATTCGGTTAAGTCTTATCAAATAAATTAATAAAAAAAAAAAAAAAAAAAAAAAAAAACGATGTATAGGTCATTTGAAAGGTATGGAATATAGCTTTCTTGATAGGTACAATACAATTTTCACTAAAAATTCTTCCAAAGTTACAACACTTTTCAAAATTTACTCTGAAGAATCATGGTTGATTATCTCAGAATTGGGTTGGCCAAATTTTGAAATTAAAGTAGTAGTAGAACCCTTATTTTATACCCCGATGCTTTTGAAAAAATGGAGGAAAATTTATAAACTATTTAATTTATAAGAATATTTATTTAAGTCCCCGATCAAAAAAAAATGGGGTTTGACTGTTGTAAGTTAAGGTAAAATGTTACTTAAAAAAATATGTTAAGCCACTTACCGCAAATCTAAAATCGGACGGAAAACAGCAAAGATATGAACAAAAATAAATTTCATGTTTTTTTTAGGATGCCCCAAAATTTTGAGTAATGACTTGAATACATATTTTCATGATTCAAATATTTTCAAAAAAATTCCACCATATTTTCTCAACTGGAGCCCGTTGGGTATTGAATTAGGGTTCTACCACCACTATAATTTTAAAATTTGTCCGACTCAATTCTGAGCAAATGAGTCATGATTATTCAGTGGAATTTTTTTTAAATGTTGTAACTTTAGATGAATTAAATAATAAATTGAGCCATTCATGTACGAAATGAGAGATTCATTCAATTCCTTAAAATGTCCTAAGGAGAACAAAAATTGAACTTAAAATAATAGAGATATGCACAAAACACATTTGCATGTTTTTTGATGGTGACCCTAAACTTATGATTTTTGCACAAGTAACTTAGTTGCTATCTCTTTTTGTTGGAAAGTTATAAAGGTTCAAATATGTATGTCTAAAAATGGCGCAGTTGGATTTTTATTTGCATTTGAAATGCAAAACTTTCTTTCATCTGCGGCGAAGGTCTTTTTTATTGAACTCATTTAATTAACTTTTGAAAAGGACGATTTTTTAGAAATGAGTTTACTTTAACGGTGTCTTTAACGATTCCCTGGAGGGTCAAGGCTATGACAACTTTTTGTAGCAGTGCTATTATTTTCAGAATGATTCTGGCGTTTTAAGTTTATTTTAATCTTTTAAAGTGCGTTGCGAGATAGTTCTTAATGCTTGAGAAGCTTCAAGGAGCGTAAAATATTAGAAATTGTTGTGTGATTTCATCAACGCACTGACATTAACAATTTATATTGCTCATGTAACTATTTACAGGAATCTGAATAGAATGAATCGTCACAGCATTATTGGTAGTCAGCCAATTCAAATTAAAGGGGAAAGAAGAAAGTTCTATTATTTTTTGGTTCCTAGATCTAAAGTTATAAATGGCTATTTTCATTTGCTAATGAAACGTTGTCCTAAAACGACCTAATTCTGAATATATACATGTGCCCTATATTTGGGACACTTAGGCCAACATTGAGGACATTCGCCCTATTATACTTAATTTAATATTTAAAGCGCATGTGTACAGCAAACATTTTCTCGACGGACATTTTCACAGGACACGTTCACAGTAGAGATAGTGTTGATGAAGCCAGATAGTCTGAAGTTTAAAGTTTAAAGGTAGCGGAATATGCAACAACAACCTGTGTTTGATCGCTTTATCTTATAAATGATTCCAATTTCTACGCCTTTGTCATCGTGAATTTGATAGCGATCGTAGCTGCCACTTTGATTGTAGAACACGATGGCGTAGTCAGAGCAATTGATCTTTCGACCTATTTTATGTTCGGGTGGATTTAAGAGAGAATCGAGTGGTGCTAGAATGTGAGTAATGTTATATGAAAATAAAAGATGATACAAATGAAAATGAGTGTCTTGGACTGCTGAATATCGTCGAAAAAAAAAATCGATAAATATTAATTCGCATAGAATAGTTCTTACCAAACTGAACTCAAGTGCCTTAAAGTGCTAAAAATTAGTGCATGTAATGACACATGTGATTCATTATTAATTAATAAAGTGCGTTTAAAAATAATTTCTGGAAACTTGGAGTGTCAAATTGAGTTGAGTATATACTTACGGCTATCACAGCTTGGGCCAGTAAATCCTGGTAGACACTTGCATACTACATCTCCTCGGCTATTGATTTCACAGGAGTCGGCATTGTTGCACGGACATGGCTTGCATACTCCGGTCATGCCAGCAGAGCGATCAAACACATCCTTATAATGAAGATCGTCACAAAGCTACAAAGGAAATCGGATCAACACATGTTGATAAAATTATTTAGAATATGCTACTCATACCTCGCAACTGGTTCCGCGGTATCCTGGAGGACAGCGACACACTTCGATCTCATCGGCAGGTCCTAGATCAGTGTGCTGTGACACTGCGGTTCCCAGTGCAATGTCGCTGATTGACGATCTGGTTGTGTAATCGCGTACTGTTGCACGGACCAAAATATGATCCAGTTTGGAAAGCACGGTCAAAAGATCGTTTCTGCTGGCTTTGTAAGGACCTCTCGGTCCGAGTACAGTCCAGTAACTTTCCAATAATGGGACGGAATAGACCTGTTTTCGTAAATAAAGTGTTAGCTAGTCGAATTTTGGTTACAACAAGTTTGTCAGTCTGTACTTACTCCGTCCTCGTAGTGTGGTCTAGACCAGAACACTTTCAGTCCGTTGCCGATCAGAATAATATCTTGATCGGGCTTTGGCTCAGAGCCAACAGTGGATTGTGCGATGGTTAAATTCGCTCCATACGAAAGGATTTGGTTTCCTAACAATCGTTCTGGCAAACTCCAGTAGTATGTGTTTCTATCTCTAAAGTTGTAACTGATTTCATTCATTTGCGGGGCTACGTCAAATCCATCTGAACTTAGCACTTGTCCATCTCGGTTTGTTAGAGTAAACTCTTCTTCTCCGGTGATGAATAATGGTAAGTCTTCACGGAACAGACGAGATTTACTGCATGATTTGGTTACTCCAGAACAGAAGCATTCCCGGCATCCATCGATGTTGTTAGCGTTCAAATCAAATGATCCTTCGCGGCATTGATCGCAACGATATCCCTCAACCAGACGCTTGCATTCACAGCGGTCTTCGCATCTGCCTGTAGAACCTCTTTGATCGCAATGTTGACAGTTGACATGGTCCGTCGGTCTATCGAGTGTGCAATCATAAGCCGTTCCACCAGTGGCGTTTCCTACAAATGGCGGTTGACAGTATTCGCAATCATTACCGTATGTGTTGTGTCGGCAATTGAGGCAATCGCCGGTAACTGCATCACATTCATCCGAATGGCCGTTGCATTCGCATTTCTCGCACAGTCCAAGGTACAATCCACCGTCTCCCTTATAATATCCAGGTTCACAATCCTCACAGGATAGACCGATATGTCCTTCGACACACTGACACTGCTCAACAGGCCATGCCCGGGTTGCCAAGCCATTATTGTGTTCTGATGCTATATCTAAGCTAACATGTGATAGCGCAGCTTCATTGGAGACCGTATTGTAGGTGGCCTTGATGAAAATGTCGCTCACATTTGCCAGTGCCATCAGGAGATACGGGCGAGAGGCTTTGTTTCCGTCTTCATAATTCTGCCAGAAATCTTCCAACACAGGGACGGCATAGGTACTGGATCCGATTGGTGATATACTTCCATCAGTTCGATAGTGATGTAATTTGATTTTGTTGCCCTATAAGAAAATAGATGATTTCACAAAGTTATCGCTTGATGTCCCCAAAATCCATTATAAAGAATGTTCGCATGAGCTTTCATGTTAACCACGAAGTAAAAGTGTAGGACCTCAGCTCTCAACGAAAAAAAATAAATAAATTTGAATATAATTACCTAACTTTTTGAGAATGGCGTGGATGAATAAAAATAAAAAGAGATAACAAAATTATAAAGTCTGTTAAACAAATCCGATGAAAATTTAATAAAAATCATACAATCTGCCGCAACAAATAATCTAATTGTCATAAAATGATTGCAAATAGCTGTTTCAGTATCTACCATCAAATTGAATCAATTTGCATCTATGAGGCATGAGCTAGGGGTAAAGTCTGTAACTTCTCTATTTTCATATAGGGGAAAGGTCGGCTTCGGCAATACCTTAACCTATTATCGTCAGGGGGTAAACAACGTCCTTTAGAGCTCAATTTTTGCATGTGGATACATTGTGTTTCAAAGCATCTATTTTCCGAATTTGAGCGCTCTAGGACTTTATTTACTCCCCTGACGATAATAGGTTAAGGCATTGCCGAAGCCGACCTTTCCCCAATATGAAAATAGAGAAGTTCCACGTGACGAATCAGATCAAACTTTTTGGGATGTTCTATCCGCCATAATTCAAATTTTTCCTCACCATTTTGCCTTTAAAGACTTCATTTTGTTCTTCAACTTTGCCTCAGACATAATTCATAATTTTGACTAGAGCACGGTATCTTTGGAAGAAAAACATTATTAAAAAAAAAAAATAATATCGCTGAAACACCTACTAAAAAAGCTTACAGCCCCCTTTGATATGAGACTAGTATGAACATGTTCTATAGGAGGGTCTAAACAAATGAGGAGCACTTAAGATTTCGTTTGGGGGGTGTTTCAGCGATACTGATTTTTTATAATAATGTAGACACCGTAAGAAGTGAAGCATTTTCAAGACAACTGACGAATTGATCAGATTGTACCCTTTTAGATTTACATGAAACTTTTCATAATTGTTCGCTATGGGCATTCATTCACCCTAGATGACCTTGTTGCATAAAAAATCCCAAATTATGTGTTATTTTAAACATTATAGCATCAAAACTGCTAACTATTCTATTCAATTTTCAAAATGGAAACATTGACAGAAATGGTAGAGGATCAATGGCTATTTTTGTTGCGCAGAGATTTTGTTATTCTTTCACAGAAAACGGTTTATCAAGTCTAAAGTATTGATTTCATTTAAAAACTACAAACATTTAGAGCGAAAAAAAGTTCAATTTTTTCTAAAACTATATGTTAAACGACAATTTAAAAAAGCAATTGACACAGTCTTCAACTAGTGGTGGTACAGGAGATACTCAAAATAACTAGGATAGGCAATTTTTTGATCAACTTTAAAGTGTCGGAGGTTCCGAGAGCAACCAATCAGGCCAATGATCCATTTGATGTTTATGGTAAGCCTATTCATGAAACAACATGAAGAGAGATCTTTCGCACGGCATGGTTTGGTGTAAACTTCCAGTTTTTTTCTGCTACATTTCCCCCCGGGGCATTCCAGTGGTTCCGAGAGCGGCCAATGTGATAAATGATCCATTTAAAGTCTATTGAAAGCCTATTGATGAAAAACCACGAAGAAAGAGCTATCGCAAGGCTTGTTTTGGTACAGGGAGTATGCCGTGGCTCCAAGAGCGCTCAATGTGGTCAAGGTTTCATTTGAAGTTTATGGAAAGCCTATTTATGAAGAAAATATGAAGAAAGAGCTGTCGCACGGCATGTTTTGAGGGATTAAAAGATCAATTGCCCCTGATACAGGTTCTCCCGGGTGCATGCCGGAGGTTCCGAGAGCAGCTAATGTGTAAAGTCTATCGATATTGATAAAAAAAATATGAAGAAAGAGCTGTCGCACGGCATGTTTTGAGTGATTAAAAGATCTGACCGCATTCAGAACCTTCCATCAGAAACAATTCCAGGGAAATTACCATATCTAGGTTGATCATAGGCCGAATTTAGTTCTTGGCATATCTTTCGCTTTGGAAATGGTTCTTATTTCTGTGTATTCACTAAAATAGATTTTTATCCGGCATCCTATAGAAAATCTCTGCATAAATTTAGCTAGTTAGACAAGCCATCCGGAATATCTCCAGTATCCGGTGACCATTGTTATTTTCGTGGCTACACCAATCGGACATGATTTAGGGATTTGATGATCATATCCAAGGATCTTTAGGAATAATTTCAAGGGAATTTAGAGGATGATTTTTTAGGAAAGCTAAATCTGAGGGTTAATTTCAAATTAGTTCTTAGGAACTCCAGACTCCAGGTGAAATATAATAAAATTCCAAGGTAGTTCTGAGTAGAATTCCAAGGGTATTGTGATCCTGAGTAGGATTCAAAGTAAATTTACAAGAGAATTCTGTTGAGCATTCCAAGGCAATTCCAAACAGAACTCAAAGAGAGTTCTGATTAAAACAACAAAGTAAATTTGAGGAGATTTTTTAAATGATTAGTGAGGAGAACTGAAAGTAAATTCTAAGGAGAACTCCAAGGTGCTTAGGTGAAGGTGAAGGTGAAGTAGAATACCATGAAAAGATGGAGAATCCAACTTGCATTCTGAGGATGATACGAAAGGTAGACACTTAGAAATAACCAATTTTGCTCGTGACGGAATCCATCTTTCACATAATGGATGAGACGTAAACAAACATGTAACATTAAGTGCTCCGAGACTGAAAAGTTCGTTGCTTGACGAAAAGTATGTTTGATTGAGCGGAATTTTGCGTCTGTCAAAATTTACGCTCGTATATGTCAGTGTCAGAGCACCTAAATTTACATGATTTTGTATTTAGAAAAAATAAGAAAGAGAAGATTTGAGGAATGTTTCATGGATATTTTCAACGAAGTTTTGAGCTAAATCTCAAAGGAAAACTATGGAGAATTTTAAGGTTGATCCTGTAATCATCTTTAGAGAGCTCTAAGAAGAGATTCTGAGGACGATTTCAAGGAGGGTATTGTGAATATTTATAGCACATTAACTAATTTAATGATCCATAATGTGGTGTGAGATCGAAAGACTTCAATGATAATATAGCGACGAGCTCGTATTAAATTTGGCATGAAGAACTCAAAATACTTACACTGTGCAGCACAACGTCTGGCGAATTATTTCTCGAAGCACCTCCGGAAGAATGGGGTGTGTAACGTAGCGTATAGTTTAGGAAGCCTCCGTATGTTGTTAATTTATTGCCCAAAAATCTGTGTAAATTGCAAATGAAGTTATGTTCGAAACAATATTGCACGTTTCAATCTTACTTGGCAGGAAGTCTCCAGTAGAAGGTGTCATCGCTAGTACCGAAGTTTCGATAAACAATCTCGCGGCTCAATGCTGGCAAGTTAGAAGCAACGATTTCCGGATTGGTGTAGTCAGATATGAGAGAAAATCCTGAACGACCATCATTGAAGGCAGCTTGCAGCGTATCTCTGTACAAGCTGGTGCTGGTGCATGTTCTGGAGACTCCCATACAAAAGCAATCAACGCAGCCTTTCTCGTGCATGAAGAAGTGTTCTGCCATGCACCGATCACAGTACAGTCCAGTAACTCCAATCTTGCAGACACATCTACCGTCAGGTAGTGCTCGTTGTGTACCTTCTGGATTGCAATTAGAAACAGGCGCTGGGAAACATCCATCGCCCATTGGGTTGCCCACGTAGCCTGCAGCACATTGTTGGCATCTGTCGCCAGTGTAGGCTCGGTCGCAGTTGCAAACTACATTGTTACGACTATCAAGACTGCAAGTTCTTGCTCTGGACTTGTCTCCTGATACTGGGCAAGGGCATGCCTGACAAGGAATACCCCGATTGGGATCTCCGTAGTATCCTGGGCGGCACTCTTGAGCTTTCGGAACACATCGTCCCAACCAAGAGCCACTGCTGTGTCGATCATATCCATAATCACAATTCTCACATGAAAGTCCTCTGTATCCTGGTGGACATCTGCACTCCTCTACCAAGGTAGCGGAACCTAATCCAAGGTTCTGATTGGCTGCCGAATCCATTGAGATATCCAGCAACTCAATATTTCGCTCAACTCCTTCAACGTACAGCATTTTGATGAGTAGACTTTCAACATTTGCCAAAACCATCATGATGTCCTCACGACTAGCCATAGTACCGTCTTCTTTGCGCCATACTCCGGGTAAGAACGACGCTGTAACCTGATTTCTTTCGTCCGGATAGAACGGTGCGTTGTGATTGTAGAGAAGCACGATACCATTTCCCTAAAAGATAATGCCATCGTTACAGCAACAGTGATAATGATAAACCAATCAAAATAATTCACCTTAAGGATCATGTCGGGAGCAGTATTAGGGTTACCGGTACCATCATACTCTACAGTATATCGAACAGATCCTCCGTAGGATTTAAGTTGATTTCCCTTGTATTCAATAGGAAGAGAATAGTACGGGATCTGTCTGCCAGGCACAATATTCGCCAACCTTAACTGAACGCCGTGTCTGGTTACGGCTAGATCATGGTTACTGAATTCGCCCTCAGCTATTTGACGCTGTCCAGTCCAAGGCCCCTCTACGCCGACAATGGTGAGAGAGGTGACTGGTGGTCGTAGCTATTATAAAAAAAATCAATTAATGTTACACAATACTGAACGATTTGGAATAAACTCACGGCGTATGTGAAGAGATCAGCACTTTTGCATTGATTGGACACTCCGAAGCAGAAACAGTGGATACATTCGCTGGGATACCTAGCTTTGCTGTTGAAGTAACCCGATTGGCAAATAGTATCGTTGCCAGTAACAGTGACAATTGCATCAGGCGACACGAAGTGTGTTCCCATTGAGTTGATGATTTCACAAGAGTAGGCACCAGAATCGATTACCTGCATGTCGTTACAGGTAAGCACTCCGAAGCCGTTGTCACTGACCGAGTTACACTTGTCCGGAACATGACCCCAGTTGAGGCGCCATACGATGAGTGGAATAGGAATGCCAGTTGCACGGCAAGTAATGTTCAGGATTCCACCGGCAGGAATAGTTAGCGAAGGTGGAGGTGGTTGGATTACCGATGGTGCCACTGTTAAGAGACAAATGATTAATGCTTTGTTTATGACAAACACAGAACATTATGCTTACTGCAACCGATTTCGTCCGACTTGTCTAGGCAGTCCGGGTGTGAGTCACATTGGAAAGATTTCGGAATGCATTGGCCGCTTCTGCATTGGAACTCGTCATAACGACAGGCGGCATCTGGTGGTAAGGTAGCACAATTCTCTTCATCAGAGTCATCTCCGCAGTCAGACTCACCATCACAGCGCCATGTTTTCAGGATGCATTTATTGTTGCGGCATTTGAACTCGTTTGGCTCACAGCGTTGAGATTTACTGCACGCCGTTTCGTCCGAACCGTCCGTACAGTCAAAGTTCCCGTCGCAAATTTGAGACTTGGCAATGCAATCACCGTTCATGCAAGTAGCTTGTGTAACGGAACATGCTGATGGAGGGCGTTCCGCAGGATAATCTGAAATAATGTCCGAATGAATATGTGTCTGTGTTTTAACTATGGCCTAATAAAAGAAGATCACGCGCATGAATCCTCCGTTTGAAGTTTATAATTGGTATATTAATCTCATTATTTTACACCCAAGTAGGAGGTCATGCAGAAAGAAGGGCCTTTGATTTGCTCTGCAGATTATCTACTTTAAAAAATTTAACAAACAAACGTTTGATTAATGCAAAACTGTATTCAGTCGTTCACGGACCAATGATGATATGCATTTGTATTTCTATTTGAATTTGGTAGCTACTTTTATAATTATTTTTGGAAAAATGAGAAAATACTGAGAAGCAAAATACACATGATCGGCAGGAGACGAGATGTTTGCGAATTAAATGGGAAACGGATTTGATTGCTACACAGGGTTAATTTGATTTTCCACCATTATTTTGGCATAAACGGCAACTATAGGTACATAACTATTACTGGAACACCTACACTACAATACCTTGATTCAAAGTTGTATGGGATCATCCAGCAATGACGTGGCATATTTTTGACAAATTTTAAACCCCCCTTCCACATCGTAACGTATTTAGCTATACCTCATACATAGCTGGTCACATCTTTTGAAATCCCCCGCCCTCCCACTCATATGCTACGTCATTTATGCATGTTCCATAATGATAGGATCAATGAAGACGAATTGAATTTCATCTTTGAAGTTGGTGTCTGATACAATTGTACAAATAATGTTTAATTAAGCAAATAATCGACAAGTAAATGTACCTTTAAAAATAATAATAAAATATGGGGTTTAAGCTGAAGGGTGTTGTACTTGTACTTGTACTAAGTTCACAAAGATCTATGAAGTTTCTTTAAATTTGGCCAGTTCATTGAGCTTTTTCGAAGCTCTCTGAAATCAAATGATGTTCTCTTACCTTCTACGAATTACCCTTGCCTTCTAAGAAGCACCATCCACCAGTTATATCAACTCAAAATATTGAATACCTTCCACAGCCAGCATATTTTAAAAGTGGCGGTGAAGACATGCGAAGAAATTTCGCCGATCTCATTGAAGAGTCATTCTAAATACACCTTGCATTCCTGACCATGAATACCAAACTAGTATTCTGGCATTCTATACTCAGAAAAGTCGATTAATTTCCAGCCCTAAAAGTTCCTCGACCGAACTGGGAATCGAATCTACTACCTCTTGGATGGAATGCCGTGCTTTTACTATTTAGACGTTCAGTAGGCCCCATGTTGGCTTTATTTTGAATAATTCAAAATTACAGATTAAAATCTTTAAACACGTGTCCAATTCAGCTCTTTATGCAAAATTTAATTGCAAGTTCATTTTACAGCAAAAAGGTTTGAATGGAATGTAAACGTTCAATCTAGGAAATGTGTGGCTTACAAACTTACATGATTTCATAATTAACAGAAACTTGAGTATTTTTTTTTTCGAACTGCGTTGGAAATTGTTTTAGATGGAATTCTAAATAATAGTCTGCAGCTAGTTGCGGTAATCAACATATAGTACAACATAAAATTAATTCTTATGTAGCTGAGAGTGGGCACACTTGATCCACTGTTTTAATTTTGGATGTAGGTATCTTATCGGATAAATCCTTTTTTTGATTCGTTCACCACATTGACTTATAGTGAAACTCTTTATGTAACTTTGTAGATTAAATCCCAGGCTTTCCCACGAGATTTTTTGAAAGATGGCAACAAAACCTCTTATTTTAATTTGGAAACTTGATAACGTCATCCATTTGACCTCACAAAGAAACATCGACTGATAAAAATATCCAACGGCCGTGACGATCGGCATCGAAACAATACAAACACTTCCACAGCATAAAGAATGTCTTTTCTTTATTTGTGATCCAGTATTTAAGCAAATTATAATTATATCATTAGCAAGTTTTTTTTTACTGACCATCATTTTATTCATCAGAAGCGTGAAAAGAATGGTGACATCAATTATCTAGCAAGAAAAATATGTAACCCCACGTAGTCAAACTTTACCTAGTCCAAAAAATTCAAACCCTATATGCGGTACCGTACCATACTTGATAAAACTATTGCGATTTTTTCTATACTTGATCCTCCATGCTGCATTCCGGTGGTTAAAATTAACATCATCATTTATATCCGTCTGAAAAATATCGAAACAGTAATACTCACATCTTTCAACGATCAAATGCACAGTTTTGCTGCTGCCTGGAGTTGATTTGGGGTATCCGACAGCCTCGCAAACGTAATCACCATTATGGTCAAACTGGAAAAAGAAGAGGAAATAATTTTCAAGTCTCAGAACCTGCAAGATAAACCAATTGTACAACATACTCTAATGTTAGGTATTTCCAATCGACCGTTCACATCACGCGATCCAGCCGGGAGTGGTGCTCCGTTTGCGCGAGTCCATCTGACCTTGGCCCGAATGGCACCCTCATCACGACATTGGAAGACAACCTCACGACCTGCAATTCGAATGTAACATTATAGCCAGGTACTCATGAACAATTATTTTCAATGACCCATATGTTTCCCATGAATATGTGGGTTGCTGAAATAAAAAAGGTTTGGTGATTGCTTACATAATAATAATAAGTAAAACAAACAGTTGATAAGATTTTTAAGGTTTCTCATTAATGGGCTGTTCACACATATGCTAGTTATGCTAGTAGCTTAGCCAGCTCAACCAAGAAGCACGAATTTCAGTTGTTCCTGAAATTTCATGCTGGTAGATGCTTACGCCCTGTTTACATTATGCTGGCTACTTTTTAGAACAGCGCTAGCAAATTAGCACAGATGTAAACTCCATATTAAGGTTTATTTATAAGTAATAATTGAGGTTAATGTGTTAGTGTATATGTGCTGAGTTCACCATGATTTTTAGTAGTGTGTAGTTTTTGTTTTTGTTGTTATTTTAAATGTGAATCTTATATAATCCCGGTTTTTTTTTGCAAATTTGTTGATTTTGATTTTGAAACACATACTGAATGTGTCAGTAGACGATGTTCTATTTACTGATATTGATAAAAGTAGAAGTAAAAACGATGTACCGTATGAACACGCTGCCAACTACCGGTCGGGTTGTTGGTCGCTGGTAACTAAATGGCCATCATTTCCAATCTGGCTGTAATGGGCAGTCATGAATACTTGACTAAGCGACCCAGGACGAGCAACTGGACTTGTTTGAGATGTGACGGAATTTCAGTCTTCGAAATGCCACAATGTCCACAGCTCTGTCAAGGGAGTTAGTGACCAACATTCTACCAACCGGCAAGACTTCCGGTCAAAAAATCACCACCCAAAACTATATGGACGAAAGAAATGAAATATGGCCAGGAGGACCCCACAACTGAAGCTGGTCATAGAGTGGGGTGAAATGCGAGTGGCTAGCGGCTGGGAGTGGATGTGCAAAAGTGGGCTCCCACACACTTAGATTTTTTGCCAAGATGGGCACCACCGGCAGCGCAGCATTTTTTTTTTGCTGTGTCAAAAATGTCATTTTCATAACTAAATACCACATACGAGCCAAATAATAATGGGATATGAGTAACGGCAAGCAACAAGATAAAATTGTTTGAAAGATTAACTGCAACAATGGCGGTTGATAACATAGCTTGAATGCAGGGTGGCCACTGAACCGGGAAAACCGGGAATCGGTAACAACCGGAAAAAACAGGAAGCAACAGGGAATTTAATTTGATCCATACCATATTTTTTATACCTATAAATCACATAATAACACTAGCTCACAAATAAAAGTAAATAAAAAAGAACTTCAATGTTTGACCCATGTTTCCTACGTAAAATCGTGCGAAGTCATGGAAAATCGCAGTAGGATAGTTTTCGAGATACAACTGAAAATGAAATTTTACTAAAATACACATATCTCCGGCTGTAATGAAACTATATCAACTATGTTAACGCCAGAATTGAGAAAATTTGATCAGCTAAACACCATTTGTCAGTGAGATTAGTGGTGTTTGTTGTTAATTACTAGTTTGTTGATTTTTTAAAATCTTTGAATTTTACCAAGAAAAATTGGATTTAAAAAACACACTAAAAATGTTTGTAGTGGTTGTACCTTGAAGCCAGCTAAAAAGCTAAGAAAATGAGATATGAATGGGAAAATCGGTTGAAATTTGAGGAAGTTATGATCATTTTTGTGATCATAAACGCTAAACGCTTAGTTTTTTCTACCCAGCTCGGCTGTGCAAATCTCGGCAAAAAAAGTTTTGCTGAGATCTCAGCAAAAGTGATATTTGATTGCTGAGTTTTGGATAATGCTTAGCTGAATCTCAGCAAACAAATGAAATGTTTGCTGAGATCTCAGCAAAACTTTTTTTGCCAAGATTTTCACAGACGAGCTTGGTAGAAAAAACTAAGTGTGTAGGACCACACATGTGAATTGGGAACTAGTATAATCGAATTCTATTAATTAAAAAATTAGGTCTAGTAGCTCGAATATTTCTCTTTAAACCTGGAATATTCCATAATCCAGCTCTGTATTATAAACTTTTCGATAGTATGGATAGGAACCAAAAATTAAGTATGAGATGTGATAAGTTTCCAAAATGTTTCCAGTGAGAATCCTAAACAAAAGCACGCATTATCAAAGATACCCCGTTTTAGGTACATGATTTTTTTTTGCTATCTCAAAAGTTGTTTGATGTCTGATTTCCGGCCTTTTGAAAATAATTGATAATTTTAGAACCTTGAAAACTTTTCATGTCACAGAATCTACAAAATTTCTTCAACAAACGGCAAACAATTTTATTTTGTTGTTTCCACCGTACCGATCAAGCTATGCATAAAGAGAGAGAGAGAGAGAGCGTTTGTCATGACAATCGCCGCAAGCGTTGTTATGTCTCTATATTGTTGCTTGCTCTCTGGGTTTTCATACCATGATCACCAATTCGGTTCCGGAAGAGTGAAAATGAGATATTTCTGTTACATATGTGTTTGGATATTATGTTGTTATTGTACTGATATTGTTATGTATGTATTTGGACCAGAATTATTGTTTCTTTATCCCTTAAGAAAGTCCAAATCCGGGACCGCATCGCCGGAACAAGAACATTGTTCGTTTGATATGCTATAAGACTCCCTAGCCAGAATCCAGCAGATCAGTGGAGCATCAACTATTGGTAGAATTTTTTTTTTTACTTGGTGAGATTAGTGTTTACATAGAAAACGATTGTTAAAACAATCAACATCTAATTCACTAATATTTTATTATTTTAAGTTAATTCTCTACGTAGGGGAAATGGATGTAAAGTCAGCCTAAATGCCCCTAATTTGGGCCCATAAATAAATTCAGCAATCGACTAAATTTTCAATAGCGACCAAAAATATCCGTAAGTACCGTCCCAATGATGCGTTCATCTAGATAAAATTGATAAATAGCAGATTTTTAGTAATGGGCCCAATCTTAGATCGATAGGCCAACATTATAGCCATTTCCCCAATATCACCAATTTTAAAATTACTAATTTAAAAAAAAATCCGATCGACAATATTTTATAAATAAAATATTAATTATAATTAAAAATGCATTTTTGCTTCTGAAGAATAGACCTTTTTGTGATAAAAAACATTTATCAATTGTTAAAAATAAGGTACAGTGAAATATTTTTTTTTTCTTCTATCGTATAGTTTTTGTATTTTTAAAAATTTTGTTATGTCATTTTGATGACACGGTTGGAAAAAGTATCCTAGATTTTCGCTAAGCGTGATACTTAAATATGTGAAACAAAAATTAAGTAAAAGAGTTTAAAGTAAAATCGCTAAACACGAGGTTACTAACGAATAACTGTTACCCACATTCATCAACGTTCCCCCGACTAACTTAGTTACTCGAGTATTTTTGTGTTTGTGGGTAACAGTTGCTGATTTTGTGCGTTAAAAAACAATTACCCATCAACTGGATATGAAGACTTTTTAGAGAGATGGGTGCTTCCCCATACAGCAAGCAGAGTTTTCGGGTACCTCGGGTTCATAAAATTGGATACACAAATAGGATACTTCAATTTTAGCGTGAGTGAAGGAGACAAACAACTCAAAAGGAAGTAAAAGTGAACTGACTGCTGGGTACTTTTTTTTACCGTGTAGAATTCTTAAATCTGACAGAATGATTTAAATCTGAATTTAGCATGCCAAACCATAACTGGTCTAATGAAAGGTGTGGATTAATTATAGAATAACTGTCCTATTACACTGATATGAACAACTTTTATGCATCTTCTGCATTACCATCAAAGTGTTACTAGTAAATTTGTTGACCCAATTAAGATTTCACGATGAATCATTTCGGTGGAAACAATGATACATGCATTCCAATGCTAACAGCCAGCATGATATTGGAATTAAAAACTTACCCTCAATTATCTGTCCTGTATTGTTTATTAGTTATTTTACGAAAGTAAGTTGGAAAGGAACAATAGATTAGAATAGAATGCATTAATTCAGTTAGAAGCTTAATTACTTTAAAATGTTAAATAATGTTTCAGCAATTTTGTTGCACTTTATAAATTTAGGCAAGTGTCATCAGTTGTGTTGTCAGATTATAATTGATCCAGATTGTAATTTACCAATAAGAATTTGCTTAAGTTGATCAGACGAATACTTACTTTCTTTGATAATTTGTTCATCTGGATATGTCCGAAGATTCAATCTTCTGTGTCCTTCGCTTGGTGTAGTATCTTGTTGAAGTAAAATGAAAAGACGAGAAAAAATAGAAAAGAAAAATATTAAATTTTCGGCTAATTGACGGTGATAAGACACACTTGTTGGTGAGAGTTTAAATCATTTTTCAAAGCGATCTTTTAGTTCCGTTTTTTTTTAACTAAATGGATAGGTTTAGTTTAGTTAATATGACATTGTTTTTGTCTGTTCTTTGTGTTACCGGTACAAGCCATCACAAATTGTTTTCTGTTATAGTAACTGACTCCGTTTCGCGTGGAGAAGTTGTGTCAGTTTTATTAAAGGCTATTAAGTATGTCACTAAAAAACAATGGATAACATTATATTCATGTCACGTTTCTCCTTGCTTGTCATATTTTACCAAACATCTCCTCTTATCCTATATCGTGACATACTTTATGCTATATTCTGGGCATGTGATTATCAGCAACTGTTTTTTTATTAGCTCATTAGTTGTTTATAATATGTTTTGTTCAATGAAAAGGGTTCAAAAAAATATTGTATTATTATTATTTCATCCGGTTTTGAAAGTCAAATGCATCCAATTGATTAAATCACTAATTCACCCAGGAAAGCACGCGTTTAATGCAATCTTTACCGTTCAGCACTTACAGTCGAAACAATCTAGTTCATCACTTGTATCGAACGGGCAGTCAACCACGCCGTTGCATCTAAGAGATCGCGGTATACAAGGGCCATTTTCACATCTGAACATGTTACGATCGCATCTTTCACTGTCTGTTCGTTTGATTTGAGTTTTGAAATGGATTTTTGTGCATTGGAAAAAAGGAATGTGATTAGGAACATGAACATGTGAGATGACAAGAAATGTGAAGAGAGAAAATGTGATTTTGTTTGCTTGATGATAATTGGGACTGATGTTTATGAATATTTTGGAATACACTATTAAGAATCATTGATGTCATTTGACCCATGGTATTTATATTACAATTTTGTTAACTGTACTACGGAGCAATTGTTGTAATTTTTATTAGATGGGAATTTTCATCCCAAGACTGCAAGAAATATTGTTGCCCCTAGATTATAGTTAAGCAATAACAATAATTTAAAAAAATAAGTTTTTGATTAACCGGTTACACATGTTGTAAGAGGGCAAACATATTAATTCTAAGGAAGTCCTAGTTTTAAAAAATGATGTTGTTGACGAAAATGCCATATAATTAAAAAAATTTCTATCGTTGTATTTTTTTTCTTGATATTTTTATGAAAATTTAGGCAATTTTCTACAATTCACTACTTGACCAAATTTGTGCAGGTCATATAATTCACAAAAAACATCTTTGATGTGCTCCCTAACTCTAAACAACCATGAAGTTCCTTGTGCTTATTTTAAATTCATTATATTTATATGAAGTCTTCTTTGAAATACAGCAAAATTTATCTCAAATTTTCAGGACATCCCCATTCTCTTAAAAGTTTTATGAGCTACTCTGAAGTTTTCTGAACTTGTCAGAGATATTTTCATTTTGGATCTTTACGTTGGCGATGATAAAACTATAATCAGCACTTTTTCTTGAAGACTTAAAAGCCGAGACAAATTACTATTTTTTCAAGATATTTAATGTTTCCTGAGAGACTTTTCTGAAGCTTTCGCTGCTTCCTTGAAGTTATTAGAACTGCCCTAAATATCTTTAAACTTAAATAAAGCTCTGGAGTTTATTTAACTTCCCTGAAGTTCTATGGATATTGTTGAAGTTCATAGAACTTCTTAAAAGTTTTTGCAATTTCCCTGAAGCTGATGGAACGACCTAGAAGTGCTCCAAGCTTCCCTGAAGTTCCCGAAATTTTATAGAAGGTCTTGAAACTTCTCTTATTAACCTGATGTCTGTTCATGAAACTTCTTAAAAAATCTCGATATTTCCTATCATTCTTCCGAACTTCTTAAAAGTTCCTAAAAATTTTGAGGACCACCCTGAAATTCTTTAAACACTGAAGCTCTCATTACTCTTCAGATGATGTTCCTGATATTGTCCTGAAATTGATAACTACTGTTCCGTGAATTTCTCTAGGCTTCTGTGAAGTCTCAGAAATTTTTATTAAGTTCTCTAAACTTCTCTGAGGATCTCTAAGATATCTTTAATTTGTGGAAAATCTTGAAGGTTCTCATTATTTTCTTGATATTCATGGAACTGCCCTGAAGTTCTCAGAACTGCCCCAATTTTCTTGAATTGAAGTTAATCGAACGGCTCTGAAGTTCTCAAATTTTTCCTGCAGTTTTCGGAAGTATCCTAAAGTAAAAAAAAATCGGTTGTTCATCGGATTTTCCCGAAGAGTTAATTTTTTACTGAGAATGCCGTTAAAACAAGTAAGTTCTGAAGTTTCTTGTAGCTCACGGAATCGGCCTGATGTTTTTGAAATTATCTAAATATTGCAGATGTTATCTAAAGTTCCTGAAATATCCTTGCAATTTTCGAAGCGTTCGAGAAGTTTTGTAATTTTTTTTTATAAAGAGCCTTGATTTTCCGTAATGAACGTATTTTAAAAACGTTTTATAATGTTATTTTACACAAGAAACAATTTATGAACTATTTTTAACCGTTTTTTGTGAAAAATTAACACTTTTTGTTGTCTCTGGTTGCGAACATTTAAAAATTTTGCATTTATCATTAGCTTTAAAAAAATTCTTAACTTATTTTAAATTTTTGTTAAAAATTACTAAAATAAATTACCCTGTATATTTTTTCTCTACAATAATGTCACAGACTTAATATCGTAATGCTGCAGTATATTGAAAAATGTCTAAGTCGCCATTTTGATAAAAGTTGCGTGATCCAAAAAGGCCGAATTTGAGCAAAAATGTGAATGCTAATAACAAACAATTATGCAAAGTTTCATACAAATCGGAGAAGGTCAGGTCATTTGGCTGTTTGGTTGTTTGGCCTGGAATTACTCAATTGGTTCATTTCACTGGAATTGGAACAAATCCAATCTGCGAAATGAGAAAAATGACTCATGATTTCATGTTATGAAAATTCATGATTTCATGAGCTATTTTTGCGTAACGCAGCTAAGATTCCTGAAATCATGAAATTAAACCCATACCTTGACCACTAGACTATCAGTACTTGTATAAGATGGAAGGCAAAAGGTGAATTTCCATCATGAAATCACGAATCATTGTTATGATTTCATGGGATGGCAAGTTTTTTCATTTCATGATTTTTTAATTCGGATTTGTTCCCGTGTACGGATTCTGCCAGTTTTGAATGAACAACCAGTTCCCAAGATTTCAGACATGTAGTATTTGTTATTTTGGAAAGTTAAACATACTAATGATGCAATATTACTCATGTCTGGTATTGTACACATATTTTTAAGGCTCCTAATAGCATGGTGTACTAAATGGCTCGCCCATACTTCATTCTAAAAATTGGCGTAACATGCAGCCCGATAAAAGATTTTCTTGTGACTGTTATTTGAAAGTTATTCACAAATTTCAGTTATAAAATGATTTTAAAATCAGGGATTGGGTGAAATATGGTCCTAATATATTTTTTAATATCGGTCGATTGATGAAAGAAAATTTGATGTGCTTGAAATGCAATCCAGATGTAATTTTAAAATCATTGGTTTGTTTTTTATTTTCTTGTTTTAGTTCTGTAAACTTACAGCAATTCCGTTCGTCACTATTGTCTAAACAATCATATTGCCGATCACATCGTTGCCGTTTGTGGATACAACTACCGTCATCACAAGTCCACTCATGATCCCTGCATTTGGGTGCTTTATATGGTTTATGTATTACCGTTTACAGAGCAAATCGATGAAATTGAGACCAGATGAATAAATGAAATATGTAAAAGAATTGAACAGAAATGAAAGTGATGGTAAACAAAATGCAGTGCATCTTGTTCAAACGATTTTGATCATGAGCAGAAGATAACCCAAATCAATATACTTACTGCAGCCATGCTCATCAGATCCATCTGCACAATCCACTCGCAAGTCACATCGCCGGGAATCTGGAATGCACTCTCCGGTGTTGCAGCGGAATTCACCCCTCGAACAGGTACCTACGTATTAGGAAAGAGTACCATTAGATCACCATTCGATTACAATTAAAAACTATATAGAACCTACAATTCTTCTCGTCGGATTGATCCCGGCAGTCTGGGTGTTTGTTGCATACTAAATAATCTGGAATACACTGTCCATCGCCACAGGTGTGCTCATTTTGACGGCATGCTAAATTACGTTGGATGAAAATATTGTAAAGTATGTTAACATTTGTCTTCCGAACTATTGATGAATGAGAGAATTGATGAAAGGAAGATTGATACAAAGCAATTTTATATATTAAGCAATCATGCATTCCAACTCAGTGCTAGATGATAATTAAACCTAAGGAATGGATCAATTAATATTGGGGGAATAATGCAGTCATCTCTCAACACTAACATGTACACCTAAATCAAACGCTTCCAAATTGTTTGTTAAATTAGGAACACTATACAATCAGTCCAGACCTGGTGTAGCCACCTTATAGATTCTTGCATTGTAATATTTCAGTCACTGACTGTCATTAGATAAAAAAATCACAGATGAGACTTTTCGTCCTATTCACGTTAACGAAAATTTAGATTGTTTTAGAAATAAACTAAATAGCTTTATAAACTCTATGGAAAAGATTGAAACACCCCTCTAAATTAACTAGTAATCGCAAGTTTTTGATAATCTTTTTCATTAAATTGCTAAATGTACTACAAACCAGTGCTGATAAAAATCATTTCTACTACACTCAATTTAGCTGAAAATTCATAACATTCTCTTGATCAAGGCAACCTCTGAGTCATCATTCGTTTTTCTTCATTCGTGACTGGATGTTCATTATCGCCTCTGTTTTGTCAATATTAATATTCGTTTTCATCTTGGTGGGGATGATCAAAGGCAAAATGATTATTTTCATTTTACACAAATATAGCGCTAAAGAACGTGTCGGTTGGTTTTTACACACAGATCGATGGAAAATTATTGCCTCATGCTGAATTGATAATAATATCAAGGTTAATATCATATTCAAAATAATCATTTTGTCCAAACAGAATTTGGTTGTTTTGCCTTTGAAAATCGTTTCTGATTTAGACAATTTTGGGTTGGATAATCAAGCACTGGTGAATATCAACAAATATTCGTTGATGTATAATGAACTCATTTGTTCATTTCGCTCGTGCGTAACAGCGAAAATTTTCAAAACAATGGCAATTCATCTACACTGGGTTGAAGTGCTACTCTTAGCGTGTGATGGTAAGTGATAAAAACAGACACTGCTACAAACGGTGAAGCTTTTGGTTTTAAATGCTTTTTAACAAACGCGGTAGGTTGACATATTAGTTTTATATGTAATAATTGTATTCAATACATTTAAATATTGTGTACCCTAGTTCTTTCATGTTTGTTCTTGAACCTACGCATTGCAGTTCAATGCACTATGGTCCAGAAGCCGTATTTAGGTGGAATACGTTATTATTGCCTAAATCATTAGTTTTAGGTATATAGTTTCTTCGGGAATGTTTTTTAATTTATTTTTGCTAATGTTTGGTGAAAAAAATATGCAGGTCATCTTTGTTTATCTAATTTATTTCACTTTCGAAAAGGGCGTATTTTTTATTGAAATTTATTCATAAATTACCAACAAAAAGTGATAGCCCCTTAGTTGCTTAAGGAAAAATGTGCGCTATATAATTTTGAAAAAGTATCTAGAACGTAATGTTTACGATAAATTAATGTAAAAACCTTACTTTTGAAAAACCGATTTTTTAAGGTTCACCCTACATTACACGTTAGAAACATGTATAAATGTTACTAAAAATGAGTTGTTCAACAATTCGGTCATAAGTGGTGATATAAGGACCGTAGAGCGAGCCTATTTGCTTGCTGAGTAGAATATCATGAGTTTAATCTCAGGCAGCTTCACATTCAAGATTTATTAGTCACTTTATTTGGTAATATGAACACGTCACTTTTATTCATGTCAACACAATCCGTTCCTTGATTGGTCTGCACTGAGACGTGGCTAACGCTGGTATTGCCTAATATAAAATTTGAGATCTGCAGTTTTTACACGCTGAGGATGTATGTTAGTCCCAAACATCAGCTGTTGGTTCTCTGTGGTCTAACAATAACGGAGTAGCAACAGTGGGCGGTCAATCATGTTTTTGCTCATGCTCATGCTCTACGGAGTATTCTTCCGGGAATCAAAGCTTACTGTTCTTAAATCATGAAATTCATCAATTTTGCATCGTTTGTCTTCATATAATTTTGACTTAGGAATAGAATCAGTAGGCTGCGGAGTTTTGACTCCTTCAGAAGAGTTGTTAATTTTATCAAGATAAACAACTTTGCCTAAGTCGTCAAGTCTTCAAAGCGCCATTTCAATGCATTACAAAAAGTTGTAGAAAAAAAATTACATGCTCCACTAAAATGATGAAATCTCAAAAACATCAAAATACAACTCTCTCAAATTTGATATTTTGTTTATCAAGTATTGCTTAATTTTTGCTGAAAATGTCAGGTTGCGATTTTTTGCGCTTTGTGAGATATTAAAGTTCAAAAATTGTTGTTTTTTTCGGTTTTTAAACAATATCTTTAAAATTTGAAGCTTAAACCAATATGTTTCTTGACAAAAGTTATTTATTTAATGCATTTGCATAAGAGAAAAATATAACATTATATGGTTGTAAGCAAAAAACGAAACAGAAGAAAAAAACATATTTTCGACATTTTTTTCTTTAACTCCATATAACTCGGAACCAGTAGGCTGTAGAAATTTTACACCATCAAAAGAGTTGTTTATTTTGTCAAGGTAAACAGCTTTGCCCAGGACATGAAGTCTCCAAAATGTCAGAGAAAGAAGTTAGATTGTGGCGCCATTTTTGCGGAAGAGTTTTGAACTATTTGTGTATGTCAATTGATGGTACTTATTATGATGAGAAACTTTACCGAAGACACCAGTCGTGGAAATGCTTAGTTTCGGAGTTATACATTTTGCTCCATTTTGTGTGCATTGCGATGGAATATTCAGAAAATGTGTGTATAGGGTAGAGAACTACTTCGGCCTAATCGCCCATTTTGAGCCTATCGAGCAGAAAACTTCAAATAAATCCATGATTTCAGAGCTAACAAGTCAATTATGCGTTTGGTATGATATTTTAGTTAATAAGCTACCGAACGAAGTCAATGAGAACGCGTGGTATGAAGGTTTGCACCCATTATTACCAAAAACAAAAGAAGCGCTCCGACCGAATCAATTTTTATCTTCATCCGATAGGCCGAAGTGAATTCATTGGCGTTTCAATTGCGTTTCAATGCGTTAGGCCGAGTTTAAAATCCGTAGGCCGAGTTTGGCGTCAAGAAGCAGTGTTGGACTTTTGACAATATCTCAACGATTGGTTTCTCGTTTTCAAATCTTACGGTACGCACGGAAAGGTAATAAATTTGGAAGTCATCAGTAATAATAACATTCAGTTAATTAAGATTAAGAACTAGATTAAGAAAGACTAAGTGCGGGTTATGCTTAATAGGCCGGATATGGGGTAGTTAACCCTACTGATGTTTTCATCAATTTTGGACACTACTTCGAAGCAGTAGAGGTTCAAACAATGTTTTATGTAGAAAAAATCACTTTTAAGGAGTTTCCATAAAAAAAAAAAAAAACATCTCGCATCATGCAGTATTGCACATATAATTCATGTTTCTGCATGCTTCTGCAATTTTTATTTGAATGTTTTGAAGAAAACACACTTAACTACTTCTATTCCTATAGTAAAAATGCTTGATGCGTCAGAAATAGATTAGCTTAAATATCTCAGAATTGTTTAAATTTTCTTAATTTTGGATGTTCTAAAGGTTCTATGAAGTTTTATATGCATGTTTTTTTTTGGAACTAGTGTATACCGGTGTCGAATATACAACCAATAATTTGGCTTGGATCAAAATTCCTGAATTCAAGCACACATTTGAATGATTGTGGCGGAAGAAAATAGGGTAGAGCACTACTTCGTCGTAATCGCCCATTTCCATTCTATAGATCAGAAAAGATCAATAATATCAATGATTTCACCATGCACAAATCAATAATAGGTTTGTTCCGATGCGTTCGTTCATTACCTACAACATAAATCATGTTAGACCGCATTGCATGAATACCCAAGCAACATTGCAAGTTTTATCGAGGTTTTAAAGCATGCTACAAGTCTAAATCATGGTCTACAGAACCCTCATAAAACCAAAATTGTTACTTGGGTATCTACGCTCAGTGTTCTCAAAACAAAAGAAGCGCTCTAAGCGAATACCCTTTTTCTACGTTTATCCGTAGGACTAAATCTAATGGCGTTTCAATGCGTTAGAACGGAATTGAAACTCGTAGAACGAATTTAGAATCAAGAAGCAGTATTAGATTTTAAACAATATCTCAACAATGTGTGACTCTTTATCAAATCCAACGGTACATATGGAAAGGTGAATAAATTTAGAAGTAATTTTAGATATAAATATTCAATTTTTTTTGTTTAAACTCGTTCAGAAAAGAGAGGTAAAGCGCGGATTGTGTTTAGTAGGATGAAAATTAGATCAAAAACCATAATTAGGGCTTACAGATAGAAAGAAATAAACAAATAAAGAATTAATTAGATATAAATTCTCTGATTCACAGGACAAGATCGTAAGGGTATTCGGGGTAAGACGGACTCCTGATTGTTTGAAAACTCCTTAAAAGTGATTTTTTCTACATAAAACATTGTTTGAACCTCTACTGCTTCGAAGTAGTGTCCAAAATTGATGAAAACATCAGTAGGGTTAACTACCCCATATCCGGCCTATTAAGCATAACCCGCACTTAGTCTTTCTTAATCTAGTTCTTAATCTTAATTAACGGAATGTTATTATTACTGATGACTTCCAAATTTATTACCTTTCCGTGCGTACCGTAAGATTTGAAAACGAGAAACCAATCGTTGAGATATTGTCAAAAGTCCAACACTGCTTCTTGACGCCAAACTCGGCCTACGGATTTTAAACTCGGCCTAACGCATTGAAACGCCAATGAATTCACTTCGGCCTATCGGATGAAGATAAAAATTGATTCGGTCGGAGCGCTTCTTTTGTTTTTGAGAATAATGGGTGCAAACCTTCATACCACGCGTTCTCATTGACTTCGTTCGGTAGCTTATTAACTAAAATATCATATCAAACGCATAATTGACTTGTTAGCTCTTAAATCATGGATTTATTTGAAGTTTTCTGCTCGATAGGCTCAAAATGGGCGATTAGGCCGAAGTAGTTCCATTGAATAATCTGGTTTTGGTCACACCCTCTCTTAATTACCGATATTTAATGCATTCCACAAGATTCTATTTGTCATTTGACAGCTCAAATGTAAAAATATAAACAAAAACAAAAAAAAATCCTCTAGCGGTAATGTGCAGTAAATTTTGGTGTACAATTCCTAAGGTTGTAAAGCACCAAAACAGAAAAATGCTTACAACATAGTCTACTTTCCTGTTCCTGGACTTGAGCAACACATAAACAAAACATAATTTTGGTTGCATCGCCAACTTGAAGCGAACCCTGACCGAACACCCTATCCGAACCTCCAATTCCGTAGCACTTATGAGGGTGTCGCTAAATCGGTGGCCTCTCGTTAAGTAAGTAATACATCAACATTTCCTTCCCTATCCCTAGTTATGGTAAAGATGGGCGTGACCGGGAAAAGTGACAGTCATGCTACTAAAATTCTTGTTTAGATTGGAATCAAAGTTAACTTCCCAACATTATTCCTGAAAGTAGTGTGTAGTAGTGAATTTCAAAATAGTCGTGAGTGTCGCTAGTATCCAATTTACTATATCATTACAACGCTAACGCTAACATTTTAGTTGATGTTAGAAATGATCGATCTCCACCCTAGGATCTCATTAGGTGCATACATAAAGTAGAGCTCTCGTTTATCGGATATACATGATTCTCACCACCATTATTGCTACTCTAAAACATAAACCTGTTTAACAGCAGGAATCATCAAACATTCAGATTAACTTTTTTGGTTTTGGTTTAAACAAAGTAAAAAAATAATGACACGAACAAGTAAATAAATATAATCTAGATAAAATTTCACGATAAATAGAAGCACATCTTCCGATAGCCACATTAAATATATTTCATGTATATTCTTAACATTCAGGAGACGAAATGACATTCACTTGAAAAATTAGTTTTAAATACGGTCGTTTTACGGACATGATTGACGGAAATTGTCCATACAATTTGTTTTACCACTTCACGTTTTCTCAGACTCACATATTGTAATTTATGTAATTAAATTAAATTTGATTTTCCATTTAGGGTAAGGCGGGGCAAGATGGGCCCTCTAAATAATTGATTTATTTATTTTCTGTTTGTCAACATCAACAGGTTCAATATAGCCCCAATGTTGATTGAAAAAAAAAAATAAATTGGGTTGCAATGGACCTGTGCGAAGTTCAAAATGTATCAAAGTGTTTGCAGCAGAGAAGCAAGTATGTACCGAGTTTATTTTTTAGGTCTCCGATACTGGAGATTATGGAATCTGGTTCTTGAGCACGCGAAGCAGAAGGATTCTGTCAATCTTGTCCTTAATCGCGTTTTAAATTTGGCTGTTCTTTTTTGAAAATACAGTGCCACTAAGTTAAATAAAGTAGTGCTCATACTTATCGGAACGGATTTGAAGTGAAGCATGCAACGGATATTTGATTTTTAGAAGAAGAAGAAGAATAGGAAGAAGATAACATCTAAACAACAGATAATGCAGAGTGAGTCACTATTAACCGAAACAGTTCTGTTCATCGGAGAAGTCTTTGCAGTCGTAATAGCTATCACACCTTAAAGCGGCATCTATGCAGTGGTGGCCATCTAGACAAGCGAATTCAGTTTCATTGCATGAACCTACAATACACGTAATGAGCATCATACGTAGAGAGAGGAGAAGTGAGTGTGAGATATCACGCATGAAATAGTGTGGTGCGTTTAGAACGAATTGTGTGTCATTTGTCAAATTTGAATTAGTAAATATCGATTGGTGTGATTTGATTGCAGCCGCATTGAAAGGTGTTTGAAAATCAATAGTGAAGAGTTATTGGTTAGTTCATTCGGTGAGATATTCAAGCATTCGATCTGAGATGGAAATACTTACGGCAGTTGTACTCATCCGATCCGTCACGACAGTTTCGAACTCCATCGCAGAGTTGGGATTGTTCGATACAGACACCATCCGGACATTCATGCTTGTTCGGGCAGCGCTGGGGTTGCTACAATATTTTTAAGTACGCATTAATGAAAACAGAACTACAGCTTTTGGTGTTACTCATACATCAACGTGTGGTGGATAATAAATATCACAATCCTCTTCGTCGCGACCGTCAGCACAGTCTCGACGTCTGTCACAGCGCCGATCTCCGTCAATACATGAGCCGTCAGAGCAGGTGAATTGATGAGTGGAGCATCGTGGACCTAAACGAAATATATTTTGAAATATAATGTTTATTGTTTTCACAGTCTTTCCTTTGATTGATACAGAACTAATTCAATTCCATTGCCATTATAAATGTGATTTAATGATGCTTTCGTATATTGTAAAATGAACTGCTTTTTTTGAATAATTGTTCACTGTTTTTGAAAAATTCTAAATTTATCTACCTAAACCCTACCTAGATAGTTTCCAAAAGCTGAACCCATAATATGAATATTTACATCCATTCCTCTTAAAAACAAAAGCAGCGCTCCTGGCGAAACCATTTTTTCTGCCTTCATCCGTGTAAATAATAGGGTAAATAAGGTAAATAAATTGTGATGTCACTAGGTCGAAAGCCGAATGGGTCATTTAGCCGAAATTTGTATAATTGGGCACTTTCGTCATTAAATATTTGCGTTGTTCCAACTTACGGATATACTTGATGGAGTTCAAATATGATCGTCACGATGACGGATTTTCATTATTATTTTATAATTACAAATTTCGGAAACTAAATCAATTTCACGCTTTGCAATTGCAACCGTTGCTCTACAGTATACGTTGGGATCCATTTTCATATGGTTAATGTTAGAACAGATATTTGTGCTCTTATTTTTTCTAAGTGAAGATGGGATTCATTAGAAATAAGGGCTTAACAGAATAAAAGAATCAGCAGTAATTAAAGATAGCAAAATTATGTTGAAATTGTTCTCTAAGTTTTCAAACACCATTGCTACAATAAAGCCCGCTCATGTTCAAGAAGGAAAAATCTGGGTCAGATGAAAATTATGAAATTCGAAAGATCTGCTCATTTTTGAAAGAAGGGTATTTCTGTTGTGAAGAACCAATGGGTAAAAATTTCTCATCTGAAAATGTTCCTATTTACGAGATCTCTCAAATATTTTCAAAGTCTTAGTACTTTGAGAAAATTCTATCTTCACATTTTTCTAAGGTTCACAATCTTCAAATTGGCAATCTTCATATTTGTAACAAAGTGTGATGCCTTAGATTGAGATAGTTAGAATTAATCAGAGAAAATGGTTCCCGAAGATTTAATTTTTTAAAGTGCGATTATGATATTTTTCAAAGATTCTAAGTCGTTGATTATTTTTTTTTTCAAATTCAAGATTTTAAAACGCATTTCATTGTTTCATGTATGTATGTCCCTTCTCAAACAGAGATCTTGAAACACTTTTGAGCTTCCAGAGTGTTGACAATTTTTCCAAGAAATACTCTAAGTTCCGTATTTCACTTTTATAAAAACCGGCCTAATGGTGTTTCGCTCAATGGCATTCGGCCTAATGACCCTATACCAAATACATTTAGAAGTAGATAGAAACATTAAATTTAACCCCGTTTGAAAAAGAGAGTGCGTTAGTGCGGTTAATGCTTAGTATGCCGGAAATTAAATCATAACCCTACACAAACTTTCTACTGAGGTTGAAATGTTTGTTTCATGGCGGTCATATGAGAAAACTGGAAATTGGCCAGTCTTTTTGGTATGCTGCCTTTGATTCAAAGCTGTATTGAAAGCCATTGTTTACGTTTGGCTGTCTCTCTTTCTTTTTATTGTTGGCCTGGGTTTGAAACAAAAACGTTTCACTACATCTTTAAACTAGGGACATTGAAGTATGCCTAGAACGCGATGACACGTGTTTGATTTTTATAATCATTTGGTTTAACCATTAAATGACAGTGTTATTAAAGTATTGCACTAGTGCTTGATTGTAAGTTTCTGCACATTATCTGTGAAATATTGACCATGCATTGATGCGAGGCTTGTCGTATGTGAAATTAACTTCAGAATGCGTTCTTAAAATTTTCTATAGGAGCTACGGTAAAGCCACAGTCAAATAGGCATAACACAATGAATGTTTTTCACTGTGAAACATCGTCGGTAAACACCTACTGGAATCTGTTGAGTACACCGGCACGGGTAGCACGCTTAACAGATGGCGGTAGTGTGTAAACGTCAAATGCAAGGAAATCGATTATGCGTGCTCCTGGCGGTGGAACTATCAACTAAGACAGTTTTTAATTGACCGTTAAATGCGTGTTCGATGCTGTTTTTCTGGGGTAAAGCTATCACCTTCTACCTCCCGAGTTCATGCTTTTTGCAATCATGAAAATTGATGAAGATATAGACTAATGCAACGAAAACGGACTAGTGATTGGAAATTCGAAACAAGAAACTGTAAGATTTTCAATTTCTTGGGTAGTACCCGAGTTTTTTTTCCGACTTATTGAGGGTTTGGAGAGCTTACCAAATCCCTTCTTGATGTCTGCTGCAGTAGTGTCAAAGCAGTAATCTACAGCGCAGCAGAAGATGCTACTGGGTTCGTGGAAAAAAAAAATCGACGACACGTTTGGTTCAACGAGGAGTATTAAGACTGTTTTAGGTAAGTAGAATGCAGAGCGGGCGATCAAAATATGGAGCAATACAAACAGAAGCGATGACAGCAAATTACTTTTCTAGTCAGTTCAAACTACCTGGAAGAGTCAGAGTGCGAAGAAATAGAACAGCTGTATCGTTCTTAAGAGATGCGTTACTTCCAAAAGAAACGCAACGCATTTCGCGAAGGCAAAAGGAGCCTGAAGAACCAAGACAGCAGGAGTAATAGTTTCATCAGTACGATGAACGAAGAAGGTTGCCAACTCCCGCGATAAGTGAAGTTAAGGGTGCTATCGCTCAAGAAACTGGAGACAAGCAGCCAAAAACCGAGTTAGTTATCGTGCAGCATTGGACAGCAGGTCAAATGTTGAAGGATATTTGACCATCGTTTGAAAGTTTTGCACGAAAATATACATTTTCAAAAAAAAAAATGCTTGTACGCTTCAGACCAAATTACATTTCTTGTAGTAACATTTACAGAGGATGTAAGAAATCACAACTATCTTTTGAGCATTTTTTTAGGATTTCCAGAAGCAGTTATAATTACATTCCTCCTTCAATTTTACTACTGCTCCTTAGGAAAAATTCAATAACATCGTAAGAAGTTCGTTGGAATTTTTCAACCCACTCTGCCCCATTGATAAACTTCGTAAGATAAAATGAAATACATACTCCCCTTTAGTAAGATCTGAATTAACATCGAATAATTAAGTCGATCGCTGAATTTATGTATGGGTCCAAATTAGCGTAATTTAGGTCGAGATTACATCCATTTCCCTATTGCATAACTTACCAAATTTAAAATTAAGATTTTCCAGTGATACTTATTGACAAGTTCTTAATGCATAAGGACTTGCAGCAAAAACAAAACGCTCTCCTGATGGCAACGAATGGTCAAAACAGATTTTTTAGAAGCAGATAAAAAATTACAGATTTGGCTTTCCAGCTTACATTATACACTGTAGGGGAATTAAATGGAATCCCTGACTCACCCCTATTGAGTATTCTACTTACATCTATATCTTTTATAACCTTTATTCTATTATTCGATTGAAGGCTTGTGCTTAACTAACCACAATCACTATATCGTTCGCAAGGATACCATTGAATTAGTTCTGATACACGAAAACATTACTGGAACAATTGCCGTGTTTTAATGTTATGTGATAAAGGCTTAAATATATTGCAGACCATGTTAAGCATTTTATAAACCGGAAGCATGATAAAAGACAAACACACGCAGTTCAAGAAATACTCACCGGGACAGTTGTTCTCGTCTGATCTGTCTGTACAATCGATGTGATCATCGCAGCGGAATTCGCTATTTATACAGAAGCCATTGTCACACTGCCACTGATCACGGCCACAAGTATCGCCTGTGCCGTTGGATGTATTTGGGTCTGAGTTGTGTATTTCATTTTTACGTCAGTGGTGTGGTGACAGTTAGTGCAGTTTAAAGGTTTCAAGCGAATTCAGCAAATCAGCATTTTTGTTTGGGAACGTTTTTGTTTATACAAACCAAATCGGAGGTTGGAGTTGTAAATTGATCGGAAAAAAAATCAGAAAGCAAAATTAGTGCAATAACACGCTAGGTCAGTGACAAATGTAACCAATTTTTGTTTTCAAATGTTGCATGAAGTGTTAAATATTTCAATAACATAGGTTAACACATTATTTATATATGTATTCAAACCTTACTATACTAATATACATTTTGTACACTTACTACAATCAAGCTCGTCACTGTTATCGTTACAGTCCATAGCTCCATCGCAACGTTTACTTAACGGAATGCATTCTCTACTCTTGCAACTACAATATACAAAGCAACGTGTATCAAAAAACGCGATTTAAAGTAAAAGAAAAATATATATTAGATTACGTTACCATTTGGGAGCTAGCGTATATACATCTAAAATATGTTACAAGTGACTTACTGGAATGCTCCATTGCATATAATACAGTTATTTTCATCAGATCCGTCTTCGCAATCTAGGGCGCCGTTACAATAAGCTTCCCTACCTAGACAAATACCATCGCATGCGAATTCGGTAGCACTACATTCATCTAAACGGGTTGACCAAAAATAAAATACGTTTGAATTAAACTACTGCGTTGCAATTTTTAGCTAACTATTGTGTATCATGCTTTATTAATATCGTATTTGTTTTATATTAAATTTAAAAGTT